TTTTTGTTTTTGTTTTTGTTTTTGTTTTTGTTTTTGTTTTTGTTTATTCAAACAAAACCAGTAAATGAAGAACTAAATAAAAAGAGACAAAGAGGTGCCTAGTGAATTCCTGTCTTTGTTTTTTTAATATGTTGTTTGTGTTCCATGCTGTCTTCTATTTCTTTATTTATTTCTTTAGTTATTGCATGATTTGTTTCTTAATTTATTTATATATTTTGTTTGTTTAATGTGTTACTTTCTTCTTTTCTTCTTGCTGCAGGCTTCTTCGTCTTATTACAATTCTAGGGATGGAGGCTCAGGCAGCAGAACAGATCTCCACTTCGGAGGTGTCTCTCAGTCTCTTGTTTACTCGGCTCTTTCATGTCTCTCTTTGTTTCTTTGTGTCTCCTGCTGTCTCTCCTGATGCCTCCTTTTGTGTTTTTTCTTGCTGTTTCTGCTGTTGCTGCTGCTGTTTCTTTCTTTTTTGTGTCTCTATCGGTGTAGTTCTGTCTTGTTTGTCTCCTGCTGCCTCCTCCTCTGTCTCTTTTGTCTGTCTTGTGTTTCTTTTCTTATATCGTTGCTGCTCAGCCTTAAACCCTAAACAAACATCTGAAATAAGCGCAAGACACACCAACTGCGCTGAGAGCAGGTGATGTATGTGGGGTGTATGTACACCCGAACCCTATGGAAGACAGGAGATCCAGAAGGTCTTCATTTATTGCTGAAGATTGCAGCAACAGACGTAGGAAGAGAATCTCTTTCTAAGTGCCAGCACCTCATTGATGTAAGCAAACGCCTCCTCTTTGCTCTTATTCTCACTGCGGGGCTCTGTACAATTCATGCATGTACATATATATATATGTATGTATATACATATATATATATATATATATATTGGAGTTCTTGTACATTTACATGTATTAACAAACGTATAGGTGTATATATATGTGTATATGGATAATACGAATATATATATATATATATATTCGTACGCATGTATACATATATATACCACTCATATGTCTTGCTCGTCTCTTCTTTCTATCTGGCTGACCTGTGGAGTTGCACATTGCACTGCAGCAGCACATACCCGAGGGAGAGAAGCAGTTTAATTTGTTTTTTCTTCTAAATTTTGCTTTCAGTTGCTGCCGCTGCTGCTGGAGGATTCCACAAGGGGACAGCCGGAGGAGTCGTTGGCACTGCGGCAGCAGCAGCAGCAGCAGCTGCCGCAGCAGCTGGAGCAGCAGGAGCTGATGCAGCAGCAGCAGCAGGAGTCTGTGCAACAACGGGGTCACCTCTTGCAGCAGCAGCAGCAGCAGCAGCAGGAGGTAGAAGAGGGGCTGCTGCTGCCTCTGGTAGTTCAGTTGCTGCGGCTGCTTTCTGCCAGCTTCCCTTTCCAGTGTGAGGTGTACAGACACCTGCGCTGGCGCAGAGAAGTTGTGTTTGAGGTGTGTTTACCTCTATTGCATGAAATAAAAAAGGAGGCAACCACAAGAGAGAGCCCTAATAATAATAACAAACCCTATCAAAAAACAAACAAATAATAAACCCTGTGCAGCGCCACAAGTAAGCTGCCATGATAGCAAAAACCAGCAGCAGCATCAGCAGAAGCAGCAGCAGCAGAAGCAGCAGCAGCAGCAGAAGCAGCGGCAGCAGTGGCAATTGTCTAAGCGTTGCCTCTGCTCAGGTCTTTGGTGTTTCTGGGGTTCGTCCAGCGGCGTATTTTCTTTCTTCTTCTCTCCAGTGCATGCAAAGACGAGAGAAAGAAATACAAAACAGAGAGGTAGAAACAGAAGAGCCTCATGAAGGATGGCTTAAGTTTGTTGTTGAAACCGACAGAGAATACAGAGACGCCTGCCAGGGGGCCCTAGAGGTGATGCTCTTTTTTGCGTTTTGTTTGTTTTCCTTTTGCTTCTGTTTGATGTTTTGTTTGTTTTCTTTTTGCTTAACGGTGCCTGTTGTGTCTTCATGAAAATTTTCTTCTTGTCCTTCTATACGCTTTTTGTTTCTTTTTCCTGCTGTTTGCTTTTCATAATATATTTAATTTGTTTCTTTCTCTCTCTTACCTGAGAGGAGGCTGGGGATGCATGCATTATGTGCTGGTAAAAACAACAACTGCTCATTTTCTTCTTCTTCAGCCTGTTTCTTTGGCGCTCTTTTCTCCTGTTTTACTTCAGCATATATCTTTTATTGAGTTCGTCTTCTTTATTGTCTCTGTCCCTTTGCAATTTATTCCCTTTCCTTTACTTCTCGCACTTATTTCTTCTTTGTTAAACTTTTTGCGGGGCTTTTTATGGATTGTTTTGTTTTTTTTCCTTGCATGCTCTCGGTGCTCCCGTTTGTTTATTCATTTAATACTGGGTTTAGTATTTGTTTATTTGTGTGCGTTGTACTTGGGATGATATTGAACTTTGCCATTGTGAGAGTTTAGCTGCTACTCTCTTTATGATTGATTTGTTTTAGATTACACTTTATGCGAATGAAAATTCATAGGCCAGAAGAGTAGTGATACAAAACTAAGGTGTAGATGCACCCCATTACTATGTTAGGGTGCACTCAAACAGAGCTTCTTCGTGGCCTCCTCATGCAAAGGAAGACTCTGCTGTTGCTGCGGCAGCCGCCGCTCTTGTTGCCGCTGCTCCTGCTATTGTTGCTGCTGTTGTTCGTGTTGCTGCTGCTGATAATGAGTGTCTGTCTGTCTGAAGGTTCTCTTTGCAGGCTGTGTATACAATTGAATTTATACTGCGGCGAAGCTGCGGAGCGAGCGCCCAAGGGGTAGGCAGAGGGGAGTTTGCTAAGAAGTAATTAAAAAGGAAAACAACCAACGAAGAGCAACATAATCCAGCAAGAAATCCTTTTGAAATCAAATGAATGCCATCAAATAATGCTTCTCTGCTGCTGCTGCTGCTGCAGGCTGAACGGCAAGGCGTAGCTTGGGCCTTACGGTTTGTGCTTGGGCTAGAGGGTGAGTGCTTTGTTTTTGTTGTGTTGTTGATGTCTAGACTAGGAGCCGCTTAAATGAGGTGTATTGACACCTGCACAAGCTGGCTGGGCACCTGAATGAACTATCTGAATACCTGAATGAGCTGTCTACACACGTAAAGGGGGAGTGTCTTGTTTTTGTTGAAGTTGTATAGACACTTGTAGAAGCTGAATGGATACCTGAATTAGCTGCGCTAGGCATCAAAATGTGATGTTTTAGCCAGTAATACTTTGGGGTGCCTTTTTGTGCTGAATGCCGTAGCTTAAAGGTAGTAATTCTCTAAGATTTGCTATGTCTTTTCTGCTACACGCTGCATGCATTGGCTTCTATACAGTAAAACAACGCTCGTGGTTCCTAAACAGCTATTCCCTCATGCATAGAACACTCTTCATTCCCTTTGTCAATTTATTTAGTTTTGTCGCTGAGTATGTTGCAACCTCTTCTGGCATTCAGATCTGCTGCTGGAGGCCGCACGCACAGAAGACTTAGGCTTGAGGGCGGCAGCTACTACATGCATGCAGCTTTTGCATCCCGAAGTGCTGCTGCAGCAGTAAAGCCGCTGAAATTGATGCAGCAACCGCATGCACTGCCTGCAACAGATGTATGCAGTTGCTGCATCTGCCGCATGCACTGGCAGCAACAAACGTATAAAATTGTTGCATCTGTCGCATGCACTGGCTGCAGTACCTTTTTGCTCTTGCTGCACGAGTAACAGTGGCCTTGTGGTTAAGCGAGAGACGTGCCAAATAGGGTTTTTAAAACCCTATTTCGAGAAGTTCCGGAGATCCCAGGGTTTGTAGTTGGGGCGTAAACCACAAGCCCTAGACCACAAGCCCAAAAACCGTGCAGTATGTGGTTTAGAAAACCTTTGAAGAAGGCCTTTAACGGATAGGACCTGAATTAGCGAGACAAGACGCATGCAACAGAAATGAGATTGCCTTCCTGAGTAACACCTGCATCATCAGAAGCCCCCACTCTTCCAAATAAACTACCATTCATTACTATTTAATGCGAAAACGTTTAATTGTTCTGGTTAGAGGAAAAACGAAATGTGTAGACCAGCCGCCCAACCGACTCGATAGCTCGTAGTAGGGAGCGCTGTTGTAGCTGTACATTAAAGTCTTCAGGCTGCACACCAGTATTAAATGGATTACTTCTATAAAAATCAATGAATAAAATTTTGCTATTTTAAATGAACTACTGAGATGAAATGCTGAAAATATCTCGCTGTTGCACACACCCTTTTTCTTCTAAGCGCAGGCAGACAAAGGTGAAAGCGGGAGCAAGCTGCAGACGGCGACTGTGCGCTGTTGTTGCACAAAGGGATGTTGGGTGCAAAATTAAAAGGAATATTCTTTTATTCGTTTTAGCATTCAAGATTAACTCAAAAAAAACACAAAAAATAGATGGGGCTTTCCTTGCATCGCAGCACACCCAGCACGCGAAGAGCGGTTTCTTGGCTATATCAGAGGCTCCGTGTGGGGGTTAGAATTGTTATTTGATTTAAATTAACTTTTTATAGTCCATCTATTGAAAACTTGCTTCCTTTAGTCGTTTGATGCAAACAGACGTGCAGCATTTAGGCGCCAATTTTGCCCAGGTACCGAGCGGGCACCATTGGTTCGTCGGTGTCAGAGTCGCCTCGGTGTTGTTGTATATACCTTCTTGCTCTTCCCCTCATTTTCCTTCTTTTCTTTAGGCTGTCTGGGGGAGTTCGCTTCCTTGCTTCCGAATTCCACTCGCCCGCCCCATGCTATTGCCGAAGTTGAGGCAGCACGCAAGGAGCAGAAGCCTCCATGATGCGTCTGTGTTTGTGCTTGCAATCGTATTTGTGAATGGATGAGGAGATAAAAGACAGAAAATGGAAGTATCATACTGTGGAATAAGTGACAGGGCTTTGGGTTGTTGTGCTCCTTTCCTGTGTTTTTGCTGCAAGCGTTATCAGTCGATTCGTTTCAACTGGATGCGTCGGCGATACTCCTGGCGTTTGGCGTTTTTTTATCGCTTGTTGACCACAGTTGCGATATTTGGCACATTGATGACCTTGGTGTTGTATTTGTTGATTAAAAGTCTGAGTTTTTTCAAGAATTACCGCTGTGGAGAGCGTGCAATTTCCTTGATCGGGATCAACTTCATCATCATGATCTGCATCATGAGCACCACAGGCATCTTGTGCATCATGATGGCGCGTATTTTAGACATGTTTGGAAACTTTTCGATTGCAGAATTCATGAGTTTAGGCAAGTGGATCAGCAGACTTGGGTTCATGAGCAAGTGGGGGCCCTGGATTGTGGCGATCCTCGCCGATTGCTGGCTTATTGTTTCATTTATCAATACCGTTTGGATTTTAGCTGCACCGAATGATTGGTGCAGCCGCAGATGGAACGCACAGGCGATCGTCGCAGTAGAAAACTGCAGACTTTGGTACAAGGGGAATGTGAAATGCCTCAGCACAGGTATTGATCGAAAGACTATCAAAAACTTTGTGGATGAATGAATGCAGCTTTACAAATTCACACTCAAAGCATCTGTTTAACCATTGCGAATATATAAACAATCCCACATTCCAATGAAACAGTGACAGACAGACAGATCTCAGGAGCTGTTCAGTCTCTACTCTTCTTTGTCCTTGTTTTGTCATATTTTCGTTCTCTTTATGTTGCGACGTGTGTAGTTGGTTCTTTTGCTCCGCTTCACACTAATGTATAATTTGTTTACAGGACGTTTTTCTGTGTAGATCGCTTTTTCCGTGTCTCTTGAGTAGTAACACAGTTAACTTGAATGAATGCATCTTGGTGTGCTCCCTCGCTCTGCATGAATGAAAGCAGTGATGTATTTCCCTTATTGGAGCTTTTGTTGTTTTTCATAGTACATATCACTTCTTCAATTGCCTCCTCCTGCAGTTTGTTCTTTTGTTGTTGCTACTGCAGAACAAAACCTGCAAAATTCCGAGTCGGGTTTGGTGACCACCTGCAACGACGGTAACGAGCTGCTGGCTCAGAAGTTTTTGTCATTTACACCTAAGGAGGGATCTGAAGATTGTTCCTTTCAGGATTTATCGGTGTGCAGGGCTTACGCGAACTTAAGAGAAGGGAAATCACTAGACTGGAATGAATCGCCACTGAACAAGTGCTTAGGAGATGCTGCAGTTTCTCCGGATTCCTTTCATGACAGCCTCAGCGAGAGCAGCGATTTGTACAGATACCTTATGATCTACGTGCAAGGATGGACCATCACACTCATTGGGGTTGTGTGTTTTTTCATTTACACCAAAGTCAGCTCCAAATTTGATTCCCTATTCTTCCAACCCAAAACTAAACACTCCAACCTCCTCTTCAGACTTGGGGCACCTCAAACCCCATTTGCCGATTAAACTCTTCCCTAATTCGCACAGGGAGAAACTATGGAAAAGACATTAGCTACTTCGTAGAAACCAGCACAACCACCACCGTAACCACGAACAACACCATCCTTTTCACCACCATCATCACGATTATCACCGTATCCACTACCACCATTATCACCACACTACCCCATGCAAATATATGCACACACACACACACACACATATATATATATATATGCACACTTATGGAGAATTGCCCCTTTTAGAGCCCTTAGAAACCCCGATACCGACTTTCGTATGTACAGGAAGGGGCCTGCCTTCTGCGGGGCATTAACAGCCCTTGGGGTTGGGTGCAGGAGCAGCAAGCGGGCGGGAGGGCTACGCTAGGCTTATAGGGTTTAGCATGCCAGCTCAGCGGCTTGGAATTTAGGGCTAGCCATACTCCTGGTGAATTAGCAACAGCAGCAGTAGTAGCTTTTGCCGCTGGAGCAGCAGCAGCAGTAGCCGACTGCGTGAAGATCAATGCATTGGTCAGATGGTGCTGATGCTGCTTGAGCTGTAGAAGTACGCGGATAGAGGGCCTCTGCTGCTGAATGCCAGACCGTAAGTCTTCTACTGATGTGTTCTGGTCTCGGAGATTTGAAACGGCAGCAGGCACCACGGTGAAGGGTGGGTTTCTAGTGTGTGTTTGGGTGGGAAAGTTAGGTAAGTGCGTTTCTGCGTTGATTAATGGGTCAATCGGGCAGCGTCGTGCTGCCATGTCGAACGTTTTGCAGAGCAGAGGGAGAGAACGGAAGAATAACTCTGCATTGCAGATGAGAGAGAAGGGAAGCTGAGGAAATGGACAACAGGGATACTAAGCAGTGCCGAAATGCTGCGGGTACACCAGAATGAGCCCAATGAAGAAACCGCAGCACAGCGAGCTAAAGGAACAAAGCTAGATTGCATATGGCATGTTTAACAACACAAAACACTATAGCAAAAGGTTCAGTCGATTGCCCCTGCAAACAACCAACCGCTGTACAGACCGCAAGGAAAAGCAAACAGTCTCACAACAAGGCAACCAACGCGGCTGCTGACAGCTGATCTGCAGCTTCCTGCTGCTGGAGGATGCAGCGGCAAAGCCCCAAAGACTTGTGCATGCAGCAGTTGGTCAAATAGCTTGTAGGGGTTTAGTTCATTAAAATGAAACACGATCCCCTGCATCTGTCTCCCTGGCAAAGCAGCAGAAATGGCTGCTAGCAACGCGTCCTCTAGGTGTTGCTTGACCGTTAGGAAAGCAGGGGGACTGCATGCATGCGCGTTTTTGCTGCTACCTTGTCTCATTAAAAGCGTTTCATGATCTCTTGCGTCTTCACGCAGTCGCCAGGGGACGGCCAGAGAATACCAAGTGGATGTACATCTCACCTCCTCGTACAACCCCAACACCTCATACACACCAGACAGAGGCTCCTCTGCAAACGCTATGCACTGCACAAGTTCTTCGTTTGCTGTGCTTTCGCTGCCAAGACCTGCTGCTGCCCATGACGACCCAGCTACATTGCTGCTGCTTCTGTTGCTGCTGCTGTAGCGGTTTCTGATTAGCTGCTGCACAGCTGTTTGCAGCTGCTGCTCCAACTCCCCAGCTGTACGGACATCAGCGTCAGTGAACTGCAACTCCTGCACCAGCGGCCTAACCCAGCCTACAGAAACAGCAGAAAATGCAAATCAAAAGAACACGAGACAAGAAAAGAATGAACATGGAGCGGTACAAGCCATAGAAGAAGATCATTAAACACAAAACGAGAGATTAAGTAAAATCGGCAGACCAACGCAAGCAGTAGGAACTGAAATCTGCAGCAGCGTCGTGTTGCTGGTGGGGTTGCTTTTCTGTTCTTGCAGCTTTGCGCTGCGTGCATTGAATATTGTGGTGGAAGCGGCGTGCATGCACAGCGCAAGCACGTGCATTCATTGCAACCTCAGCTGCACCAGCATCAACGGGAACAGCACCAGCATCCTCAGCTTCACCCTACACTGAAACCCTAATTCATAGCTGTAGCTGCACCTGTTGGCGGCAGCAAAGCCACCCTCTTGGCATCTTCGCCCGTCACTCCCATCACCTGAGCTGCTGCTGCTGTTGCTGCTGCTGCCGCTGCTTCTGCGCCGTGGGGATGGAGCCCTCCCAATGCTAGAAAAGTGTTTTCATAGGCGGCTGTTGCTTCTCTTCGTTGGCATTCTGGCAGAAGAATCTGAGCATGGCATTGAAGATAAAGGCATGAGGACAGCAAAATTAATCTGCAAAGTGCTGCTGGCGCTGCTAACATTGTTGATGCTGCAGTTGCTAAGAAATGAGAAGGCACTGGATGCAAACAGAATATCAATACCACAGCAACCTGCACCCTGAAACCTGGAGCTAGAAGTAGCAGCAGCAGCAACAACAACAATAGAAACGCGAACACCAGCCGTAGATGCAGCGCCAATAACAGTAGCAACAAAACCATACGAACAGTGCCAGCCGCAGCACCATAAAATGGGCTTCTTACTGGTTCTGCCAAGAGCGGCGCCCATAGTTTTCGGTTGTTGAGGTCAAAGCTACAACTTGACAGTGTGCAGGGCAGCCTATTCCGTCTCCTCCTGAAGGAGCAAAACGCTGATTTTTAGTTGCTTTTGTTGCACATTTTTGGCTTCTTTGCCGCTACCAATAGGATTTTGCTGTTTCGTTGTGCTTGCTGCAGCACCCCTCCATTGGTGTTTGCTGCTAGCGTGTATTCTTTGTTAATCCTATCACCGCAGAACTAATTACGTACATAAACATTCATGCATCATACACAACCATATAACATATATATATACACTTGTATATTAGTTTATCGCTTGTTTTTTCAGTGTTTGCTGCTTATGGTACATTGCCCGCGGACTACTTTGATTAGGCTTAAATCATTTGTTCTTTTTCGGTTGTTGTCACCTGCGGCAGCCCAGGAAAGAGACGCAGCTCAAGGACAGCTGGATCCACGCAGTTGATGCGTTGCTGCTCTTCATGAAACGTCTGGCTGCACCAAATAAGGTGGGCAGTCCCAAGCATCTCCATTTATGCTTTCGCTGCAGTTTCTGCTGCACGCTTTTCCTTATCACGTCGTCTTCTGCGGTATATTCAGCAGCAAGTTCAGGTGTAAATCCCCCTGTCTGCCCTGCTACTGTTGCAGCAGCAAGAGCAGCAGCTGCAGCAGGGGTCTCCCAGTTGTTCAGACACTGCATGGGTTGCAAGTTGATATATGCATTTTGCATCCCGATGAGCAAAGACAAAGAAGAGACTCGCCACAGCCCTTCTCTTCTGGGCTGCTGTCTGCCACCCAACAAAAATGGAAAAGGGGTTTCTGTTGCTGCATGCAGCTGACGCCAACGCTGCAGCAGCAAGCTTGTTTTCTGCTGCACCTCTGCTAGACTGGCCTCCAGTAGCAGCACCTCCTTAACCACACCTTCACCTTCCCGCTGTTCCCCCACAGCCGTCTGCCCTAACCACTGCTGCTGCTGCTGATGCTGCTGCAGCTGCTGCAGGCTACGGTGCTGTGAGGCTGCAAAGGCCTCCGCAACCGGCAGTACAGCAGCAAGCTGTTGCTGCAGCGCTTTCATCTCGGCGTTCGAACCCCGGAGGGCCTTTAACACCTGTAGCTCCTCGCTCCAAAGCTGCAGTTGCTGCAGCAGCAGCTGGTGCTGCTGCTGCTGAATGGGAGCAGGCGGAGTAGCCTGGTTGCTGCTGGTGATGTTCATTGCTTCGCCTGTCAATGGGTTCCAGAATTGAGCTGTTGCTGAAGGAGACAACCGCACAACGAAGTACTCTTCTCCCTTACCCAAGACGTCTCCTGCACAGCAGCAGAAACGGAAGCAAATAAGGGGGAAGATTCAAAACAAGTAAATATAAAATTAAATAAAAACAATCAGCAGCCGAATATGCACAGGAACATACTGCACCCATGGAGCTCGACTGTCCATTCGAAAGCGCAAACGCTGCTGCTGCAGCAGCAGCAGCACCACGAAAAGCAGCAACGCCAGACGCTGCAACGTCATCGGTGAATTGAATACAGACGAACAAACAAAAGGGCAAAGGGGGACATGAATGAACGAACAAGCTTGCAAACAAAAAACAAAAAGAAAAAGGAAACAACAAGCATAAACACACGCAAACGGAAAACAACAGACAAAACGAGCAACCGAAAGTACAGGCAAGAAACAAAATAAACAAACAAATAAGGAAACAAGCAAAAAAACCAACCAGGCAAACGACGAAGCCAAACAAACACGCAAAGCAACATGGTGACGGAGGCGGAGATACAGAAAAAGAAGCAAGGCAAAAAAGAAAAGAGGAGAGAAAGCCCCACCTACTGCAACAAATGATAAACACTGAGTCTGCATGCAGCTGTCCAGGCCGTTAAAGAAGGAACAAAGCAGCAAAGAATGCCCCGCAGGAGAACTGCAGCCAGCCTCCAGCAGCTGCTGCACAGTCAACCAGACAGGAACTTCTTCTGCGGCAGTAGCAGCAGCAGAAGCAACATGAAAAGCAGCAGCAACAAATGCATGCAACGGAACGCACACCCAACTGTTCAAAAACAAACTAAAGGAAAGAGCAGTGGCGAAACATATGTATGCATTATCGAACTACTGGCGAGTAAGATAGACAGAAACAAGCACGGTGACATAACACACGACAGCACGCACAGAAAGAAGAAAACAAACAACTGTATAAGTATCACTCTGAATAAACACAAGGGAGAAAGCATAGTATATAAGCAGCTGCTACAGAAACAGCAACAGCATCTAACCACAGCAAACAGCAGCAGCGAACAGCAGCAGCAGCAGATAGCCACAACGAACAGCAGCAGCAGAAGCAGCAGCAAGTATTCACATAGAGCAACACCAGCAACAGCACAGAAGCAGCACCATCCGCAGCAGCTATCCACACAGAATAACCGCGGGAGCAGCAATGGCAGAAGCACCAGGAATTTTTCCTTGGTGTGTGTAGTGTGCTTGAGTTTGTTTGCGTTTGTCTCGCCTGTGAATACTTGTTTTTCATTAACAACTGGCAGCAAGGAGACAAAAGCTGCAGTCTTTTCAAAGCAAAACGGATCAAAGGGCTCCGCAACAGAAGAAGGAGGTAGCAAAGGAGACAGCAATCGACAGAGCAAGCGGAGACACCCAAAGCTGTCCATCCCTGCAGTAGAAGGGTAAGCAGAATAAACATTAAGATGCATGCAGCTAACAGAAGGAGTCTGCAATCAAACTATAGGGATAGTAATATATTTAAAAGAACATTCATCTCAAATATTATGCCCATGAACACCAAAAAATTATTTCAGCCTCTACATTCTTGTTCTTATTCTTGTTCGCGCTCTTATCCCTCTCTTATTCTCATTCATATTCTTATTCTTGTTTTCATTCGTATCCCCATCATGCTCTTATTGTTGTTCATATTTTTATTGTTTCTATTGTTCTCATTCTTAGTCTTGATGGCTGCTGCTAGTAGTTGTAGTTGTTATTGTGATTGCTACGATTTGTATTAGTACTATCATCCCTATTTTTATTATAAACCTCCCTATGTCTATTTGTCTCTACTCACAGAAACAAGAGGCACCGACAAAGAGCAAAGATGCAAGCAAAACTTCTTACCGCAAACAAATACGAAAGACGATAGCCACAGTTAAAGCCAACGAAAAAGTTGAAGACGGAAACAAACACACACGCAAAATGAAGGAAGGAAGATGGGCCAGCAGGCAAAGACAAAGACGACAAACGCGGCGAAACAATGACGCAAGAACCCCTCGACAAGTAAAACAAAGCAAATACAGAGAGATGAAGCTAGATAATAGAGAAGAAAAGCTGCAAACAAATACAAACGAGAGGAGATTTGGTGAAAGACACTTGCCAATTGAAGATGGAGATCCGCTGACTCCTTTCCTCCCCGCTTTTTGTCTCCACTTCTTGTCCAACTCTATCAAATTCCTGTCTTCCCACAAATCCTTCCCAGGCTGCAGATGCAGCAGCGGCGGCTGCTGCTGCTGTTGCCGCTCTTGCTGCACCTGCTGCAGGTGCGCATGGTGTTGCGGCTCCCGCTGCGGCTGCTGCAATGGTGGCTGCTGTTGCTGGCAGAGATGCGGTCCCCGCTCATCGCGCTGCTGTTGCTGCTGTTGCTGCGGTTGCTTCTGTTGCTGCTGCTGCTGTTCCTCCTTCCGTTTCTCCTGCTGCAGCTGCTGGTATATCTCTTCGGGCATTAGAGTGCGAGGGAAGCTGCAGCAGATGGCTCTAGCAGGCCCCCGTATCTCGAGCTTGAGAGAGACGAACAGGTCAAAGGGAGTTGCTGTACAGTGCTGCAGCAGTACTTGCTGTTGTAGCTGTTGCTGCTGACACAGCTGCAGCAGCAAACCGGTCGGAACATCGGGACTGTGGGGCCGGGAGAGGTGGATGTGAGTAAGAAGCCCTTTGGGCTGTTGCAGCTGAAAGCAGCCGTTTAAAAGGCAAAGGCAGCAGGTTCCGTCAGCACTCACATCAAACACCTCATTGAATAGCTTCTGCTGTTGCTGCTGCTGCTCGTCGTTCTTGTGCGTACTGAGGTGTTTGAGTGCAACAGCAGATTCAACGCCATCCGCTGCAGCTTTTGTTGCAGAGGATATCACAGAGGCCCACGGGATATCAAGATACCCAAGCAACACTTTAGGGACTGCGGTTCCAGAAGGTTCAGCAGACACCCACGGATTATTGAAGCTGTTCTTGTTGGTGTTGGGTTGTTGCAAAAATTCGTCGAAGACAGAGATTCTCAACCTCCCCCGCTGACGCTGCAACGCCCCCGCCTCCAAAGCAGCCGCCTCCGGCAGCGCCAGGCTCACCGCCTGCAGCACCTCAACAACCAAGCTTTAGGGTGTAGGGTCAAAGGTTTGCAATGAGCTGTCATTATTTAGGGGAGCAAGCTCGAGCTCAGCGGTTAGGGTTCAGTCTTCACGGCCTATAGTTTAGGGTTTGGGGGTCAGCATGTAGGGGAACGAGCTTGACCTCAGCACTTAGGGTTTAGGGGTCAGGGTTTTACTTGGTTGATGTGGGGATTTTCTCCCTGAACTGCTTTAGTGGTGGCTGTAATGTGTATGCGGAGCTCTGGAAGCAGCAGTTGAACTTGAACAAACGGGTGGCTGAGTTGCAGCAGTTGACAAGGCGGCTCTCGTTTGCTGGAGTTTGTTTGGCTTGCGGCTGGGGCGTAAGTTGTCTGGGGATGCCGTGTCTCGTAAACCTGAAAGCCCCCTAAACCCAAACCATTAATCCCTTCAGTACACCCCAGTCGGCAGCGCCCATGCAACTCCTCTACACTTGCAGGCAACCGCCGCAGCGGCACATTGAACAGGCCGCGCACCTGCACAAACCCCAAACCCTAAACCCTAAACCGTAAACCGTAAGCCTAGGGAATGGTGCCCCCGGAGGAAGCCGCGCTGCACCTGGCAGAAGGTCCTTGATGCCTTGCATGGTAGTGCAGTAGCAACAACAGCACCAACAGCAACGCAGCACCAACAGCATCAACAACAACAGCAAGAGCATCACCGCCAAAAGCAACAGCATGTGCAATAACTCTCATTTATAACTGCGAGCCGTGACATTCGGGTTTAGGATTTTGGGTTCGGAGCCTACAAAGGCTCGAACTTCTGTAGTATGACTGGGTGACTTTTCCTTGGCTTGTATAGGGGGTTGTTGGGGATCGCGTTCCCAGAGGTACGACCTGCGTGTTACTCGCATCTTCTTCTGTTTCCGCTGCAGCTGCCGTTGCAGGGCCAGGGGGAGGAGCACCTGCATCCTGTAGTGACACAAATTAAGGCCTGTGCAAAGCCCGCGCAGGCCTCGACAACTCAGTAGACAGAGAAAACCTGGGGGCTGCGGCTCGCGAACTATAGCGCTGTAGGGGGTAAAGGGGCGCTGCTGCTGCGTGAGCATCGGCGGATCAGTTCCCGGGAAGTCTAGTAGCTGCGGCTGCTGTTGTTCCTCATGCTGCTGCTGCTGCTCTTGCTGCTGCTGCTCCTGTGAAGCTGTAGCTGCTGTTACTACTTCACCCTCGGGGGGACGCCCGTAGCACTGGGGCCCCCCCAGAGCCCCTCTGTACGCTGCAGCCGCATCCTCCTCAAGCCAAGGCAGCAGTAGCCGCGCTGCTGCAGCTGCTGTTTCCACGTTATCCAACAAATAATAGCGGAGTCGCCGCTCGTAGAAGCCCCGCTACAACGCAGACAGACAGAGAAAAGGCGCAAGGCCGGAGGTTCATGGAATGGGCTGAGAAGCCCCATGTGCACCAGATTCTATCAGCTCAGACTGCATGAGCATGCATGTGCCTGTGCATGCGTTGGCTGCATGCAGTCTGTGCATGCACAAACTATTCACGAAGCAAGAGCATGCAGCAGCCCACCGAAGGCGGCCGGGGTTTCCACTTGCTGAGTTCAGAACTGAGTCGTTGGTGGCATTGTTGTTGGTTTATTTCTTCTGTCCCGTCTTGGGGGGCGTTGGTGCTTGGCAACAGAGTGATCAAAAGGGCCTCCCAATCGGTGGCAGCAATTGGCTCCTGCGGCCTCTTTGTGTGCAGTTGCTGTACTCTGAGACAGAGTCTGAAGGAGCTGCGGATATGCGCATGAGGGTACAGCTGCACATTGGCCAGAGCCACGTGCGCCAGCTCTGCAAGTGCAGGAGGGCGCCCCCCAGCTTCCGAGTTGGGAGTCTTCTCTACCGGGGCAGCGTGAAAGTGAAGTCCAACAGAAAAATTGTAGCGAGGCTGCAGCAACGCCTCCTCAGGAGATGGCAGCCTTCGGTGTATGTACACTTCATTCAATGGCTGCTGCAGTCTGCTCTCAACTTTTGCCCGCTGTATTCCCATCCATTCTTTGCCTGCAAAAACGAAAGCAGCTAGCTACTGAATTATTTCCTCTTCTTTGTCCGCTAGGTGCAGCAGAACCTAGAAGATTGAAACTCAGCACAACGCAATTCAACACAATTGAAACCCAATGTATCGCCGAGGAATACGATGTGACGCGGACCAGCACAAGGGACAGGGACTAGCGCAAAATAATACAACGCCCTACAATTCAAGACAAGCCAATAAAGCATGGACAAACACAGCGCAACACAATAAAAGGCAACGGAATGCCAAGCTCAACACAAAAACGTACAATGTTAATATTGCACAACATAATGCAGTACCGCTCAGTTGCAGTGCAGCGCACAGAGGTGGCACAACAGAATGCAATGCAACATATCAAATAGCATACAATGCATATAATTAATTGCAAGGCAGGAAACAGCAAACTACACAATGCGAATCATTCACAGGCCGTACAGTGCGAGACAGTATTATTCCAAACAGCACAACGCAATACAACATATATGTAACATTACGAAACACAATATAGTGAAATATTGCACGATGATTGCGACTCCGCAGAACAGAAGACACAATGCCTTCTAACGCTGATACAGACAGCGCACTACAACACAAGACAAAGCTGAACTCCAGTGCGAAAACAAAACGCTGCAAAACAAGGCAAACCGCCACTTCCCTATCGCTGATGGGTTATGTTGTTAGCACGGCCGTCGTGTCTCTTGGATCCAAGTGCGCGCACGTATGCATATACACATGCATGCAAACACCTTCTGAATGCAGTCGCTGTCTCTTGTTCTTCCTTAGCCCTTTGATGAGGGCGTCAACTGCTCCCAAGAACTTAATAAGTGGGTGCAGGGGAGACGCGTGTAGTTGTTTGATGTTGACATAAAAACATGGAGGTATGCCCGTACGCTTCAGATGCTTACAGGCATATTACCTGCTGATTTGGGGCCTGTGGGAGGGAGGTGTTCTCCAGGCAGAGGTGCAACGACAAGACAAATCTTCAAGCAACCAGAAAGATGCCAACAACTCCTGCAGAAGCAAATGGCACTCCAAGATATCGGCTGGCCAGATGACGCAGAGAACCACACTGAAACAGAAGCCCCCAGCGCAACTCCATGCACAGAGAACAGGATAGCAGGGGTAGATTGCAACAGCACAGAAGAACGGGCGCTGTAATATCACTGGGTGCGAACCAGAGGTAAACGCATGCAGGCTTGTGTGCACGCGCTGCTTGCAGCATGAGCAAGCAGGCAGGCATAAGAAAGCTGGCGTGTAAAGCCTTACTCGAAGGGGAGTACAGAAGCCAGGGAGGCCTCCTCAACGGCGCTCGCATCATTTTCTTCTCTCCCTGATTCCATTCCAACTTCTTTAAGAACTGCATGTTCGAGAGGAAGTGAAACTAACGGAGACAAAGGCGCCCCCTTTGGTTCTCCCGTTGCGGCTTCTTCAGGGTGACAAGCAGAGTGCTGCACTTCGCTGCAATATGATGCCCTTGCTGATGCTGGCGCCAACGCCACCTCTCCAGGAGCAGCATCAACTGCTATTGAACCAGATAGGGTGTCTATAGCATGGCTGGTAGGGGTGCCGCCTGCGGCAGCAGAAGCACCCGCTGCTGCCCCCGCTGTTGCTGACTCTGGTGTTTTCAGGTCCCTATTGCTGTCATGGGGAACCCGGGATAAGACAGCGCGCAGACGTGTTGCTGCAGTAGAAAAGGGAGTCTTTCGACTCTCTGCTGCAGCGGCTAATGCGGAACTACGCTTGCCAGCTTCAGCAGCTAGTGCTTCTGCAACTTCGGCGGCAAAGTCAGCACGGGCAGCAGCAGCAGCAAGAGAACGGTTACGCTGAGTTGCAGCAATCTGAGCAGCTGTGGCGGCCTCCCTTTCAAGGCACAGAGCTATAGCATCTGCTTCTATGGGGTCCCCCCAGGCAGGAGTGGCGAGCAGCGGCATCTGCTGTAGTTGCTGCTGCAGCATCCTGTATCTGGCTTCAGTGGCTTCCACAGACAAAAACGAAGGCAGCGGTACAATCCAGGTAGCTTGAGGGTCCTTTAGAGAATTCATAGAACGGATTTGCTGGGGGCAGGCCCTGTCAGCTTCTGCCGCCGTTTCTGCCATCTTCTGGTGTGACTGCTGCTGCTGGTTGCTGCTTCTGAAAGAGCTGAAGGGTAGATCCACGCAGAAAGACACAGGGGATGGGTGGTAGGCAGTTGACGGCTCTCCTTCAATGGAGTTGCTACGAATGAGTTCGTCTCTCAATACAGACAGCTGGGGGGGCAAGGGGACAGCCACAAGAGCTTCAATGGGCCTAGGGAGACCTGAAAGAATACGCCGGTGCATATATGTGTGCATGCATGCATGCATGCATGCATGCATGCATGCATTGTTAAAGTGTGCTGTGTACGCAACAGCACACAGACGCTGCAAAAAAAGCCGGCTGGTTTGATGGCATAGCCGGAAGAGACACGAAAGGCCAAAGAGCCAAAAGAGGAACAGAAGCCAGAAATTCGAGGGGGAAAGAAGGAGGAAGATGGATGAGGAAAAGGCCAAAAAGAAGAACAAGAAGTAGAGCACGAACAAGAATAATGCTACGGGAAAGGACAAGAACAAGTACGAGAAACAGACCTGGGCGCAAAAGGAAGAGGAGGAGCAGAAGAGGAACAAGAACAGGAACAAGAACAAGGCGGAGGAGGAGAAGCAGAAGAACGGAAACAGCAAGAAGATGAACGAGAACATGAACAAGGACATGAACAAGGATGAATACGGGGGGGAGGAGGAGGAGGGGAAGAGGATGCAGGACAAGAATAAGGAGAACAAGTGGAACACGAACAAGAACAAAACCAAAGACAACGACCAAAACAAAACAAAAACAAGAGGAATAAGAAGACAAACAAGAACAAGGGGAATAACGGGGACAAGAAAAAAAAACAAGAACAAGAACTAGAGCAAGAAGAACACCAAGAACAAGAATAAGAACAAGAGCGAGAACAACATCAAGAGGAACGGCAACGCGAGCGACAACGCGGGCAATAACAAAGACAGCCTGTGCAGATCTTCTTGTAGCCCACCGGGATGGCTGACGCCAACATGAAGAGAAATCGAGTTAAGCGGTTTGTTGAGTGTGGTGTGGAAGGCGGCGAGAACGTGGTGCGCTTGCTGCTCTTGCTGCAGCAACTGCTGCCGGTACTGGAGCGGGAGGCTTTCCGGAGGCACTGGCGAAGCAATTGGAAAACCGGCAGCAGTTGAAAAGAACGGGAAGTGCAGCGCCAAGTGCTTCTGCCCCCCCACGGACCGCTCGTTCACTCGGCAGCCCACAACTGCAGTCAGCGTGCGAGAGAGGCACCGGCGCAGCTGCTCCTGCAGAGGCAAGGACGCATCGTTACCTGCTGCGCCTGCCCCTCCTACTGCTGCTGCCACTGTTCTTGTAGAAGCTGCTGCTACTCCTGTTGCAGCTGCTTGGGCGGATGAAGGGGCTCGGGTGCCCTTTGGTGTCGTAGGCCGTTCCTAAGAGCATGCAAGACAAAGCCCGCCCCCTCTGTGGATTTCCCTGTGGTTCCACGTTGAAGCAATCTGCATCTTCTGGCGGTTACGACGAAGGAAGTAGCACGCATAGCCTGACTTTCTGAAGCTGCGCGTGAGTGTTTATGCATTGCAGCGTGAGGAAGCAAGAGGATGGCCTCCTAGACGGCTGTAGGCCTTTGCAATTTATATTGCGCTGCATGCACAAGAGTTTCTGCCAGGCTCAGTTGCTACCATTTATTCTTTTGTGCTGTGTGTGTTTGTTTGTTTGGCTCTCCGTGTATGTGTTTGCTTACTCTAGAGGACAGTAGCAAAAGACGGAGAGGAGTTCCTGGATGAGGCACAGACGTGGCGAAGAGTTTGCTGAGAATCGCTGTGCATACACCCGAAATGTCAAATGAAGGAAGCTGCTGGGGAGGCGCTGTATCGACGGCATATGTCAGAAGCTCCTCCACTTCTGCCGCTATCTCCTCTCCCAGCAGCTGCTTCTCAGTTTCCTCTTCTCTCCTGCGTGTGCAAAACCCAAACAGCAGCAACAGCAATCATGCTGCGAGTTGCTGTGCTGCACAGGAGGGGGAGGCAGCAGGCGGTGTAGTGGAAGAGCGAAGCTGCAACAGAATTCAGGTGACCGTAACGGGAGCAGCAGCAATGCTGTTTTGTTTTCGTACGAGAGGAGCAGCAGCTGAAGCTGGAGGCCAGTGCAGTCGAACTGCTGCAGATCCCTCTGGCGCTGCAGCTGCTGCCAGAGTTTCTCGATGGTCTCGCCAGCAGCAGCAAACTGCTGACGCTGCTGATCGCGCTGCAGCCGCAGCAGACGTCGTTGTTGTAGGTGGCCAAGCCACTGCTTCCACAGCTGAAGCGCAGCAAAATGAGGCTCACAGGAGCGGTTTTCTTCCTGAAATGAGACTGAGAAAGCCTTTGTCTCCACCCTTCTTTCTTCTGTCATTGAAGGGGACAGAAAGACAGAAAGTTCTCGCAAGCGAAACCGCCTCCCCGCCGACACACTTAAGAGCGGGTAAACGCCACAAACGTTCAAGTCGTAAAGACGAAGGCTGTGCTGCTGTTTCTGCTCACTGCACTTGATGTTTCTGCTGCTGGTGCCAGTGCTGCAAGGACGCACCTGCGGATAGCTCGTCTTCAAGCTGCACAACCACCTCGTGAGCTGCAGCACTTGGTGAGAAAGGTTTTGTATTTGCTGCAGCTTCTGCTGCAGCCGATCGTGCTGCACCTGTGGCGGTTGGTCCCGTCTGTACGCCGCAACGGCAGCAGCGGCGGCCTGCTGCAGGGGATTCAATTCCCTGGGCAGGCCGCAGCTCTCCCGTATTTCCTTCGTGTACTGCAGACAGCTGCGGAGCTTGGCTGTCAGTTGCTCGCCGCTAGAGCAGCGAGCGAGGTAAGCATACACCTCATACGCGCTTAGCAGTTTCTGGGCTACGAGGTCTTCCTCACGAAACAAGTGACAATCCGACAGTGAGATATGCAGCAGCTGTAAAGACACGCGAAAGGCGCAGCGGCGCTTCACAGCGAGCGATTCCTTTGGCCACCACAAGTGCCAGGGGGCAATGGGCAGACAACTGAAGAGAGGCATCGAGAGGAGACAGCGGGAAAAGCGGGAGGAAGCCGTCAAGCCCAGCAGGTCTTCAGCAGAGGCAGCACCAGCATCAAACGGGGAGAAGCAGCGGCCCCCACGAGGCACCAGCTGCAGCATCTCTGCGGCAAGCAAGCGCTCATAGTAGTCAAGCAGGAACGCCACTTTGGGGTTCTGAAGCAACGCCTCCTTGGCTTCTTCAGAATCTCTGGTGGAAAGGGGTGCACCTTTGCTGCTGTGTACTGAGTTGCCAGAAGAGAGCGGCAGCAGGCTAGATAGCTTCGGGTCGTTCTCCTTAGCAAAGGGATCAATTACAAGCTCTGTTGCCTCGTGAATACGCCAAGCTGCCTCCTGCAAGATGTGGCTGCAGATGTAACGGTGCGCCGCGTGCCGCTTGCGCGACCCCACTGCAACAGGGGCAGGGCTGCAGCAGCAAAACAGCCACTGCAGCAGGGGGCCTAAAATAGCAGAGCTTTGGAGCCCCGAACTTCTTGTGTTCGTTCGACGCGGCTTTTCTGTGTAGAGGGGGACGCGGCGATGTGAGAAAGGGATGCGCACGCAAAGGTCCTGGGTTGCAGGAAGTGTTGCTGCTCCCTTATCTGTTTCTTTCGCTGTTTCAGGTAAACCTTCGCCATCCTCGGGTCCCTGGCACATGCACCCCTTTTGTGGAGCAGCAGTCGGCTGGATCGCAGGGACCAAGCGGATGACTCGGTCTTGCGGGTACGAGAAGCCTATCAGTTCCACATTCCGCCTGCGTTGTTCTCCCCTTGCTTTGGTCTTTCTTCCGACGAGACGGCGAAGTCCATGCTTCCGAGTTTCCGTTGTTTCTGTCGCACTGCGACGGTTTTTTTTCTGTTCAGCAATATCAGCGCTGGGTGCCCTGTGAAGATCAGCTGGACCATCCTTGGCTTTCTGCTGCTGCCCTCTGCTGCCACCCGCCAAACTCCCTGGAAGCCCTAAGGGCTCCATACTTCTGATGGTGCTTTGATATTTCCTGAGTTCGAGTGTTTCTGACCACGAGGGGCGGTTTTGGCTGCTGTGTATGTGTACGTATTTACTGTGGCTGTGATTCGGTGGAGTTCGCTAGAAATGCGCGCCAAATCGCACAGATCCCTAAGAATAATTAGAGGCGTTTTTCCATTCCATGCATGGTATGGCGTTTTTCATGAACAAGACTTGTGATTTTCAGCTGCAGCGATGCTGGAGGCGCTGTTGGTGAGGTGACCCCCACAAGCGTGGACCTTGAGGCCAGCTGCGGCCGGCATCTCGAGAAAGTTGAATCAAGGGGGCGTAGGTAAATGGATGTAAAAAGAAGTTCTTCCTTACCATATTACAGGTGAAGGACTCAAAACTTATCCTAAAATCACTCTGAAATATGGACGAACCACAGGCGGAACTGCAAACGCTGCCAGGGGGGAGGAAGCCTCAGCGTTTGAACCGCACGCAAGAGAGCGCGAAAATATGATCCTTTTGAATCGTTAAAAAGATGAGCATTGTTAAATTAAACTACTTATGAAGGGTTTAGTGGCTTTCTCCATGTTTGCGTTCCTTTGTAGTTTTCCCACAGGGGCGCCTGGGCAAGCCTGTGCGTGTGGCCTAGCAGGCTTTTTGTCTTACTGTGCACCAATCGTTGAAGTATTACCATTGCGAAAAGGCTATTCTGCTGAATTGCCCTCTTTAATCTTCATCGGAGCGACGACTCTGACAATGAAGCCGTTGCTGGCGAGGAAGGCGTGATGAACCGTGTCACTACGGCAGACGGTTTCCGCACAGTTTTGCATCGAAATTTTGAACACTCTCTCAGCAACAATATCCCTCTCCATTTTTGAAAGACTTAGGGAAGCTCTGTTGAGTTACTGTGAAGGCATATTTGGTGCACTATCAGCAAAAATCGCTTCACCCCCTGGTGTTCCACTTTGAGCATGAGAGCTAGTGAGCTCATGGGCTTCTCAGTGAGGCCGCAGCTTCACTTTGCCTTTTTTCCCTTTAAAATAAGAGGTTCAACCTGGTGCATGCAGTCGGTAGCACCTGCGTCTGCGCTCTACGAGCTGCAGCTGACGCTCCAACAACCTCCCAAGCAATGCTATCCTAACCTGCAGCTTCAACAGCCTGCTGACGTTCTTGGGTTTCCTCTGTCTTTCAAACATTTTCTGGGGGCGTACGGTACTTAAGGGCCACACGTCATAAGTGCTGCTGTCTGGGTATTTCTTCATTCATGCGTACGCACCTTCATCTTCGCTGGGTTGATTTTAGTGGCTTGTTTTGTGTAGGGGCATCATTTTACTCAGGCGCTTGACAGGGCTCCTTTTCAAAGAGACAAGAAGATGAGAAATCCCATTCAAGTCATAACACCCATATACACAACAGGCACCACGCACCTTTTTGAGTTGCAAACGGAGCTAGAGCACTTCTTGTTTTTCAGAGTCCGGCTACCAACTTGTGCAGGAATTTGTCTACAATTCTCCAAGTTTATGTACTGCCGTTGATCCGTTTTACTCGAAGTATTTCTTAGCCGCTGGCAAGTCAAGGGCTAAGGAAATTCAGAAGCAGCAGGGTCAGCAAGGTGAACGGACATTACTACGGATGCAAACTACAAATTCAAGAGACCGGTTCAACCGAAAGAACTTACCCGGTGAAACGTTGTGTGCGCTGGTGGGTCAACATCGGTAGTTGCTGAATCTGTTACTCGGTGCATGTATCGATGCGCAGGCATTCCCTGCAGCCCTCTAAAGTACATGGACCGTTCCTGGGTTTTTGGCAGGTGAAAACGCTTTCGTAGGACCAACTTTGAAACCAGCATATCGTACTATGCATGTAAAGATAATCATATATAGACACAGCGTTCATTAATCGCATTTATGAGTAGTCCTGTGTAATGGCATACACATATATGTAAAGATACCTTCATCTACGTATGCAGATAGACGCATGAGTGTATATATATATATATATGTACACATGCACATTTATACATACGTATATGTGCAAATATTTTCTGACTTTGTGCAAGTGGCATCTCCAGAAGAGAAAGCAGAGGAGGGCAACCTTGAAGTGACACTCAATTTCACCTTACTGGTCCGTGTCACTTCTTCATGTGCCTGTGCTCCTACACCCTTATCAGATTTTTAGCACTTTTATAATTAGTTGAAAGGCCTGATTTCGTTGGAAGGCGAATGCCTGTCTCTACCACATTTTCCTCTTGCCAACCTTCGTGCGGGCGGCAGCCAGCGATCACAGCAGGAGGCAGCAGTGGTCATTTCAGCATTTTTCGAACAAATAGATTGTGTAATCCATGATTAGCGCAGATGCTTCTTAAAAGATTTCAGGCGTCATTGAAAGGCGTAATGGGTCTCAGACTAGGTGCAATGCAGCTGTGGCTGTATGGGGTGCTGCAATAGAGTATAAAGATGTCCCTTGGGCGACAGCTCACATTTATGTTGAAGATGCTTTATACGAAGCATTTTATGAAAAATGATAAGATGTATAGCATCGTTTTGTTTCGTCTCACCACGGAAAGGTGCGGCGACCGGAGCGACCGCAGCGGCGGAAACGCGTGCGGTCGTTGGCCGAGGGTTGCATGGGGAAGTGTAGATTCAATTCAAAAACACAAGCCTGTTTCAAGAACAACTTGTAAAAAAAGAAATAAAAATCTTGAAAATTAGTGAAGATGCTGCGAAATAGCCGCTAAAAAGTGGCGGGTTCCACGATGCTCTTTTGAACGTAGCTCACAGCAGCCTTCTTCTGTCTTCTTTATCGTAGGCTCATGGACGGCTTATCAAGTACTCCGTGTAAAAAAATACTTTTCTCATAATTTCAAAGACAATTTTTTTCCTCAGGGAAAGAATATCCAGGCAATGCCTCCTGCGCATGCTCGTGAGAATCGGTCCACCGGCAGCTGCAGCCGCCGCGTCGGTTCGCAGCCTTCTTTCCTTTCTCTCCGCCTTTTCTTGCTGCTGCCCACTTTTTTTAGAAACGGGTGGCTCAAATGGTCAAATTGAACGCATCTTTACTTTGAAATGCTCACGAGTAGACTCACACCACCGCAAGCAAGTGGTGTCTCAGCCGTCCAGCTTACTCCGACAGGGTTCCGTACGTCGGCAAAAACCGGCATTTTTTCCATCACAATCAGCCATACAAGGTAGTAACGACCTCTTATCTAATATTCTTTATGTTGCCTCTTTCTGATACCGACAAAACAACAAAAGTAGCCGGAGGAGCCCGTGATGTCAGCACTACGCTAAACGCCAAACTCTAAACCATCACACACGCTCAAATTTCTCTTCTCTGCTTGTCAATGTGGGAAGGCGATGCCAATGGTACCTCGTCCAGTGCTCACCGCAGCAAAAGGCGGCTGCAGCCACAGGCCCAGCCGCGAGACCAACAGCAGCAGCAGGGACAGCACCACCAGCGGGAACAACAGCAGCAGAAGGAACAGAAACAGCAACAGCAGCAGCAGAAACATATGCAGCGGGAGATTAGGCTGAATACGGGTCTGACAGACTCACAGCAAGTGGGGGATGAGTCCTTGTCTGCCTGGTCTTGTCTATGCATTCCCCCCCAAAGTAGAATGCCTTCAGATGGCGGCTCTGCTGCCGACCCCGCTGCCGCTGCTGTTGCGGCCTATTCTAGCTGTTCCACCGCGTCTTCGTGCAGTTCAGCGTCTCTGCAAGCTTCGCAGCTCCCGCTTTTTCGCGAGGGCCAGCAGCAGCAGCCGCCCGCGAAGGTGAGAGACGAGCCTGACTGTGAATCCGTGGAGGAGGGAGGCGAGGATGAAGCCACCGCTGCGGCAGCGACTTCCGCTCCTGCGTCAACAGTCTTGTGTGCACTGCCTGACCTGGGAGGAGTTGTGGGGGGCCTGGTGAACTTGTTTGGGGGAGGGTGGCTTGCAGACAGGTTCAGCGCGCTGATGCGAGAGAGCTTGCAGAGCATGCTGTTGTTGCTGCTGCGGCTGCAGCGGCAGCAGCTGCTGCGTCGCTTCTGCCCAGACCTGATGGAACGGTATACGCACACCTTGAGTGGCGGCCAGTTCAAAGCAGAAAGACACAGCATACGTACAACAGACGGCTACGAGGTGCATTTCTATCTCCTGCGCAGAGTCACTCGCTGGTGCTGCACAGACGACTGTGGATGCGAGGTGCTGGGAGGAACTGCAGCAGCAGCACCAGTAGCAGGAACAACAGCAGAAGAAGCAGCACGATCACCAGCAAACGCAGCACTCGCCAATGCCAGCAGTATTGCACCCAAAGGGTCCTACGACACCGTTGCTGCATTTCCAGCAACAGCACCACCACTAACCATTGGTGGGAGCAGCAGCAGTAGCAACAGCCTGGACGGGGACTGCAGGGGGCAGGTGTTTGTGTTTGTGCACGGGTTGTTGGAGTCATCTTTGAATTGGATTAGCGGTGGTTTCCTTTCCCTTCCTTTTATTGCTGCCCAAAGAGGAGGCGAAGTCTGGCTGGTGAACAGCAGAGGAAATGAATACACACGGGAGCTCTCCGCTCACAAACAGCAGCAGCAGCAACAACAACTGCCGCAGCAACAACAGCAGCAGGAGCAGCAGCAGGATGCCTCCGGTTTTTTGTCGGGGGAGCTGCAGGAAGACGATAGATACCCTTCTTACTCATTAGCAACCCTGCACGCCTTCATCCAGGAGAAGCAGCAGCAGTTCCTTAGAGCCCAGGAGCAGCAGCAAACGCACCGAAACGACGACGAGCAGCAGCAGCACCACCTCCAGCAACTTCTGCAGCAGAAAGAGCAATACGAAGTGGAAGGGGACTGCTGCTCCATTGTCTGCTGCCGATGCAGCGGCCTGACTGCCTTTCCTTCTCTCCGAGGAAAGTCCCAAGAAGAACAAAACCGCCTTTTGAAGGACGCATGCATGCAAGCTTCTGCCTTGCTGCTGAACATGCACTGGGGGAGCCAAAACCCTACCAACTTTGGTAACTCCAGTCAGGAGGAAGAGCAACAGGAGCAGCAGCAACAGCCATTTAATCGAACTCTTTCTGAGTCTGAACTGTCTACAGCGTTGTCTTCATCTGCTAGAGCTTTCGCAGAGAGCGATGGAGGTGTAAATATGCCTTCGCCTTCAGCATCTCTTGCAGCAACAGCCGCCACACCGGCACCAGGTACAGCGCCTGCACCAGCAGCAGCAGCAGGATGCCTTGCTAGTTGCTTCAGCAGCGATGACGTGCTGCATTCTCTTCGCAGCTGTGGGGATTGTAGGGGTGATTGCTCTCTCAGAGATGCATGCGCATGCCCCTGCATGGGCAGCCGCAGAGAGGAGGGGCAGCCACTGCTGCGAGCTGGTGCTGGTGCAGCAGGCAGGGGTGCAGCAAGGCAGCAGCAAACCGGCACAGCAGCCTTTGCATGCAACAGAAAGAGCACCTCCCCCAAGGAGTCGCGTTGGGGTGACTGTGGAGCCAAAGTGGGTTGGAATGACGATGAACACAGCAACAATACCAGTAGGTGGCTCCCCAGGATTCGCAGTGGTGCTAGCAGCAAAAGCCCTCCTTTTGCTTTTTCTGCTTCTTTTGCCTCGGGTTCCTGGTCCTTTCAAGAGATGGCGCTTTTCGACCTCCCTGCCCAACTCCAGTATATCGCACAGCATTCACAAACCCTCAACAGGCGCCGCGCTGCTATGCTGGCTGCTGCTACGAGCAGCACCAATAGCAACAGCAGCAGTGTCAGCGACAGCTGCAGCATTAAGACCAAAAGCGCGTTTGGCTGTGGGCTGGTGGCTATCGGCCAGTCGCAGGGGGCAGCGCAGTTGTTGATAGCCCTTTCTTCTTCTCCTTCTTTGGGATTGCTTCTGCGGCGTGCAGTGTTGTTTTCACCTCCTTTAATCCTGCAGCCGCTGCAGCAGCTGCCGTACTCTGCTCGGGTGCTGCTGCTGCTGGGGATGCGGCATCCCACGCTGCTGCTACAGGCGCTGAAGTTTTTTGTACGTTTTATTCCGGAGCGGCTGCTGAGTACAGCAGGTAATGCAATTGTCGGTTCAGGAAAAAGAGGAGGCATGCGCTTCTACAACACGCCCCTCCAGCAGCAGCAACTATTCCTCAACTTCGCCCATACGCCTTCCGGTAACTGCACCAATCTTGCTGCTGCTTCTGCTGCTGTTACTGCTCCCATGCAGCTGTGCTGCGTGCAGTTGAAACACCGATCCGTGTTCGGAGGCCGGCAGTGAAAAAACCTGGGACCTCTGTTTCGCTGTGTTGCTGCTGCTGCTGCTGCTGGTGTTGCTGCAGGGGGTACCTCGCGGCAGAATTTTGCCCATTGGATGCAGCAGCTGAACAGCGGCGAGCCTTTGTCTTCGTTGTCTCCTGGTTCTGCGGTGCTTGCATCTTCTCTTCTGTCGCCTTCATCTTCTCCGGCGGAATCCAGCGACGCTACGTGGTTGGCTCAGCTGCTGGAGAACGCAACGCCTCAGCGCAACGAATGGCAGCAGCAACAGCAACAGGAGCAGCAGGAGGAGAAGCAGGAGCAGCAGCAGGAGTGTGCTGCCCTCCCAGGTGTGGACGTAGTGAGGGGCCGGTATCCGCTGGAGAGAATTTCGAGTTTTTTGTACGCCTTCCTTGGGGCCCAAGACAACCTAGTGCAGCCAGGTCAGCTGCAGTGGCTACAGTAGCAGATTGGAAACGTGGCTAGCTAGTTAGGAGGCTGCCCGTCTGGGCTAGTTAACTGCTAGTTTAGCCCTCTAGGTAAGTTAGCTAGGAGGCTGTGCATCCAGCTGGTCTTCTGCTCATTCGCCCCCGAGCTGCTCCGTTATGTAATAGTTCATCTAGTTGCGAAGCTAGGAGGCCACAAATCTAGCTGTTTAATTGATTTGTGCAGTCCCTGTCTTTGTTGCGTGTGTTTGGGGCTGCATGCAGAGGCTAGTGCGGAGTATTTGAAAAGGTGCATTGGGAAGGAGAACCTGCATTTACACGTTGTTGAGGGCTTCGGCCACCTGGACTTTGGCTGGGGGAAACATAGAGCGGAGGACTTGTACCCACAACTGTTGAGGCTGGTTGCTGCATGCACGGCTCCTTCGTCTTGTGCATGCAGAACAGCAGAAGGGAATATATGAATCATGACTCTGTGGCTGCAGGGCAAACATGCATCCTTGCATCTGCGCATGCATGCATCCAGTGCAGAACTGCTGCTTTCCGCTTCTGCTGAAGACGCTGCAGCGGAAGGCCAGCCGGCTTTGTTTCAGCTTGCCGCTTTATGCTTATTCATTTTGTTTTGTCTGTGGTTGGCAAACAGAATTTCAAGTTTTTACACTGGCCGTATACCCAAAAGAGCTCTTGGGGCGCCTATTCGACCTCCCCGTAGCAAAACTCACAGGGAACACCATGCATGCATTGGTTGCATGCGTGCGTGTGTTTCATGCACGTATGCATGCGTGGCGTGCATGCATGCTGCTTTTGAAGGCTGCATTCGCTCAGGGGCAAAGTGGATGAATCCATCTGCGATGTGCATGCATGCACTGATGCATGCATAGATGCAAATGCAGTTGTTGCATGCATGCAACAACTTACGTGCATGCACTCAGATTTTAATGCACTCATATGGCCCTTTTTGCACGCACGCATATCCCCCTTGTTTGCATGCCTGGTAATATATATATATATATATATATATATATATATATATATACTGATGTATATGAGTGTATGCATGCATGTATATGGAGTTGATAGGTGCAGGTTACGATTTTTTCGGTTCTGTTTGACGTTTTGGGGCTTTTGGTGCGAATTTAAAACCGGCGGTGCATGCAGCGCGCAGGCAGTTAGCTAGGCTGTTTCCCTTTTTGCCTTCTTTTTTTGAGCAAATGCTTTGCTGTAGTGACGCCGATGTATTGTAGTCTGCAGGAGACAAGGACAAGGAGCTCATTAGCGCAGCGACTTGCACTGCAGTAAATACGTGCCCTCGATATTATAGCTGCCGCTTCACTTTGCTTCAAATAAACATCAGCCCAAGTTCCAAAGAAGCAAGAGGAGGTGTGTTGTGGGAGCTTGCTTTTCAGGCAGCTGGTTAGTGCCGTCTCCAGACACTTCTGAAGGAATTTGCCGCCAGCCGCGTCGCCCGTTGGCATTCCTTTTTTCATCCTCTGAAATATGTTTCTAAAGAACGCATTTGTAGGGATGCATTAGCTCCGTGCTACACTCTGTGCATTATACCTATGTAGAATATGTTGTGAATGTATAAAATTCAACTTTTAACAACGAATGCTTCCTTGAAGACTACTTCGGGGATAAACCTACTGGGGTCTGCACAGTGGCCTCCCACTTCATGATGCATGTTATGTATAATCTTGTAATACACACATATAAATGTTCACTATTTTAACGGACTACAAATATGAACTGCTGGCCTAAAATATATCATTCATGACAAACATGTTACCTAGTAGTCCTTGAATGCGTGGGGAGATAAGGCGAGGTCTCCTCTGGAGTGCTCAAAATGTAAGTGCATGTATATAGATGTATATTATCCTCATGAGTCTTGTGCTGTTTACAATGGGCATGTATAAAGCGGAGGGAAACAAATATCTGCACAGCATTGGAGCAGTGTTGAATTGAGAGCAGTCCTACACATGCATAGTTGTTTCTGTAGTTACTAGAATGCAAATGCTTGCTGTTTACCTGGAAGAGTACCCCGCGTACCAGCAACTCTTCACCGACAAATATCGACCAAGTAGATGTCTAGTTGTCAAAAAACATGACAGTTCTTCTAAGGAAACGTTTAAATAAGTAATTATCGCATAAATACATGTGTTGTTGAAGCAAGAAACTGCTGTTTAGATGAATAGCTGTTAAACGAAATAGCTCGCCAAAATGAATAACAAACAAATAGCTTTTGCTAAAATAAGCATCGTTTGCCTAAAATAGCAATTATTGAAGCAACAGTATAACTGAAACTTATACTGTTGCTTTTTCCTCGAGCTAGACGGATCTCTTGGACTGCGAGGAAGGCACGACGTTGCTAAAGTGAAATAATAAATAAACCTATTCTAGAGGCATGTTTAACAACACTGGCTTTGGACCGTATTGTGCGGAGATATATGTATACATATAGGTATTAGCATACATGTATATATACTCATAAATATACAGATGCATAAAAGACGTAGCCAGTGTTCTTTCCGCCTTTGTTTCACGCTGCATTATTGTGCACCCGCGAGCACTTCATGGTTTACGTGGTGGCGGTGGTGGTATGAAGTCTGGGGGTCCCTCGTCGGAGTCCTCGTCCTGTTCTTGTGGCTGTGTGCCTCCTAAGGATTCAGAAGACCCTGCAGGCGCTACTGCGGCACCATGTCTGCTAGGGCTCGGCGGCTTTTTGGGGGTACCAGGAGAGCCTTGCGTGGGAGGACTGGTCCAGGTAGGCCCCCCACTTTGTGGCGGAGTTCCTTGTGGAGGTGGTGTTGGTATTCCCCCAACTGAAGGGCCACTCAGAATCCACGGATCAGCCTCCTGCGGAGAGGTTGGAGACGTTGGAGGAGACTGTCGAGGAGGCAGTGGGCCCCCTCCCGCGCTACCTCGTACTCCTGCCTCTCCAAGCGGCACTCCAGGGACAGGAGGAGAGGTTCCTTCAGTGGGTGAACTACCAGGAGCTTTCCACACAGGCCCCTTCATCCGTGACTCAGGACTTCGTCGTGGAGGCAGTGTTGGAAATGGACCATGTGGAGGGCGAGGCGAGGACCATGGATCCTTCTCCGAATCGTCAACGCCACTCGGGAACGGTGGAAAAGTTGGAGACCCTCGAGGAGTCTGTGGGCCCCCTCCCGCGCTACCTCGTACTCCTGCCTCTCCAAGCGGCACTCCAGGGACAGGAGGAGAGGTTCCTTCAGTGGGTGAACTACCAGGAGCTTTCCACACAGGCCCCTTCATCCGTGACTCAGGACTTCGTCGTGGAGGCAGTGTTGGAAATGGACCATGTGGAGGGCGAGGCGAGGACCATGGATCCTTCTCCGAATCGTCAACGCCACTCGGGAACGGTGGAAAAGTTGGAGACCCTCGAGGAGGCTGTGGGCCCCCTCTCGCTCCACCTCGTACTCTTGCTGCATCCCCAAGCGGCACTCGAGGCGGAACAGGAGGGGGTCCTTCAGTGGGTGAACCACCAGGAACTCTCCAGACAGGCCCATTCCTCCGTGGGTCAGGACTTCTTCGTGGAGGCAGTGGTGGTAATGGGTCACGTGGAGGGACAGGCGGAGGCACTGGAGAACCCTGCCCTGGGCCCCTTCCCGCGCCACCTCCTACTTCTGCTGCTGCAGTCGAGTTTCCACTGGGAGCACCAACAAGGTAGTATCCATCTTTTAGAGCATGCCCACTTGGCAGAGGACCGCCGTCTGCACCTGGTGCTGGTCCTCCTGCACCTTGAGGGAACTTTGGACCACTCGACGGCCGAGGGGTCGGTGGATCTAACCCTTCCTGTGATTGTATGGGTTTGCCTCCAGGTGTGTATCTTGGTCTGTTAATTGGAATTTGTCCCCCTTGATCCCCCTTCCTTCCCTGGAAGGCGTCTGCTCCTTTCCGAATGGTGCTTCCCACCGTCACCGGGCCGATGTGAACGCCTCCTCCTCGTCCTCTTCTTCCTCTTCGAATGCCAGCAGTACCCTCTGGGTCTCTCGGCTCACCCGAATTGCCTGATGGCCCTGCAAAGATATCCGCAAAGGGATCTGCAGGTCCCGTCGTCTCTTCTTGTTGCGAGCCAGTGGAGGGGCCGTCTGATGAGCTACCTCTGACGAAGGACCGAGTCTGGTCAGATGGCCACGGTACGCTTCCTTCATTTCCCTTTCTCTTTTTCCCAAATAATTTTTTTTGCAGAAAGCTGGAGTGTGAGGACGAGGGAAGGCCGAAGCCGCCTATGAGGTAGGGTTGCCTGTGGTTGGCATCGTCTCCTGAGGCGGGCGCTATATGTGCAGCTCGCAGGTAAAGAGCTGCAGAAGAAGGGAAGGAATCAAACGAGAAAACTAATGCCCCAACTGGGACGGATAAGAGCAACTTTCTCGCCATGTTCCTGCCCGCAGCCTTGCTGGCGGAGAAGTGCACAGGGAAAGGAGACAGGCCTGTAGGCCGGAATGCGCCAGCAAAAAGAAAATCCCCAAGTATTTACACATACAATCAAAACAACTATGGAAGTGAATGAGGTAAATATAACAACAAAATGGTGAAAAGGTGAACGCCGAGCCCAGAGACGCGCGAGATATCCGGCGCGCTCCGTAGGTAATCCGCTGCGGCCTCCTCTGCCTCGCCATCCAGCAGAAACGGAGTTTAATTTTCCCCTATTGCCTAAAAAAAGAACCAGATTGCTATTAATTAATTAATAATAATTTAAGACATTAAATTAATTTTGCATTTTGCATTAATTTGGTTTGGAGCCCTATTTCGGTGGATGATCTTCTGTTCCTGCCTACTGACCACCGGTCCTCACGCCGACCGGGCCGGTCCCCACCGTGTTGAATGCTGTGGGTTCACTCTATGAACGTCTCGGTCCACTCCAAAGAAGATAGAAATATGATATAACAAAACATAATATGATGCGATGTTAAGCATGTATTTTTTGGAATTACTCTGTAACCGTCATTTATTTTTGCCGAACTGAGATTGGGTGGACGCCTGATAGAGGACCGATCACATTGTAGTGCACCGGCACTACAATGAGGATCAAATCGGCCCTCTAGAAGCCGGTCGAGCGGGAAGAGTAAAAAATAAAATTCCAATAGAAATTGATCAAGTAACATTAGGTAGGAAAGGAGGCCTTGAGGCTAAGGCTGCTCGGCAAGGACCCCAGGTTGTGAGGTTGGCACTGCCGCCTGGGCACCGGCCCGCGAAGGCGCCACGAGGGGAGTTCCATTATTCTTGATTTTTCTTTTCAAGATTAAGAGACGCGAATGTGCTTTTAAGGGTTCTGCCGGTGTTTCTGGTTAATCAGGCGAAGATTCGCTGAGTGTAGCGATAGATATAGGGTGTGCGCCAAAATAGGTGTGTAAAGGGTTCCACTTAGTAACACCCGTGCGTGAGAGCTGTTCACTACGCCCGGACTTCTGAAGCCCGAGCTGAAGGGCGCCCTGCGCGCTTTTTAACCCAAATTCCCCCCCTCCCACCATGCAGCCTAATTCGTCAAAATTATTCTAATCCAGAATTTAAGAGGAAGACACCTATATGTTCGGGAAAGATAACCCGCTTCGGCATAGCCGGCCGACCGCCGGCCTGCCTGTCTCTCCGTCTGTGGTAGGGTCCGCGGTCCATATCCTTTCGTTTACTATTGCGCACAAATTTGCACGGATGGTAACTAACTATTTAACAATTCTTTACATTGTTAGTGCACGCGGCTAAGGGAACTTAGGCGTGGGAGTTGTCGGTGCGTCATATCTCACGGGTTGTCGCCTCCTTCCCTCACCAGGCACAGGCTCTTTGGCCCATGGGCTAAGAATGTCTAGGGAAGCAGGTGGGGGGCCATATTTGCTTTGGGAGCGCCTACCTTGAGCCCGCAACTCCACTACCGCTTGCGACGGTGCGCAGCTAAGGCTAAGGAATGGAACTGCTGCTCAACAGGGGCTGCACCTTCCCGGTGTAGGGCTCTCTAGATATCTTGCTTTGTGTTGGCGTTCTCATCTCTGCCAAAGCCTGTTCCATTTGCGACCCTGAAATGAGCGTACATCACAGTGGATGTCGGGAAGCTTCCATGCTTTGTATCTTCTACACGCAGGTGGTACCATTGCCTTAGCTTTAGCCACAACCGTAGTGCTTCTCCTTTGAACAGAGAAGCTGCTAGTAGCAGCTGTACGGGGCCACTAGCGACTCCTTTATTTGAAGGAAGGTCAACACGAGAGAACAAAGGAAACTCTTCATTTCCATGCATCACGGTGTTCGCCATATCTGGGAAGTTGGGAAAGCGGAGGCATTCTCAAACGAGCTGGTTTTGCTATAGAAATACACTCTTTAGAATGGAGTGCAGATACAACGTTTGTTTAAACGACGGGGGTTTTACCCCTTGGCACCTTCCCCACCGTGTCTATCCTTAATGTGCGAGGGGAGATGGGGATGAGAATTTGACACAGATTTTGGTAAAAATATCGAGATGGTTTTGTCCTTGCAAGAGCCTTCGCGTCTAGTTACTGCTATGCCCTGACCAGTCTGATTATTGCTCAGGTTCACTGAGCGCACGTGCGGTGTTATAAAGTATAGCCAGGGTCCTCAACCTTAGCTGAGAAACGTCACAAGCGGCAGTGGAATTAAAGAGTTGAGAAATACTTTCCCGGAAAACAGATGGCCTCCTCCCCCGCCTTCAGGCGTCCTGTGCAAAGCGGCCCAGAGCCCTGTAGAGAGTTTGGGAGAGGGTGGCCTGATATAAGGCGTTGTACTCCTTGTTGCAAATAGCGGCGCAAGACAACTCCACGACCAGCCGCACCAATACTCCCTCGCCTTATGCGCTTATACTAATGGCAATTGTTGAACACTTACTCTGCCCTTGCTAGGCAGTCTGCACGCGAGTAGAAGTGCATGTACGAGAGTCGAACAGATCATTCTAAGGAAGCGCAGATCGAAGCCCGGTAGCTCGAGCATTCTTCCTTTGGACAGTTTAGCTTTGATCAAAACGTTAGTTTGCCTGCCTAGTAGTCCAGGAAAAGCTACAAATTGGTGATATAGTGATTTAGTTGAGGGACGAAACGCTGTGCATTTTCTGACGAATCTATCGATCGTACGATAATTTGTTTGCTTAGCTTGAATTGTTTGTTTTGTTTCTTTGGTTTCTTGTTCAGCTATTGAACGCCAAAGCCTTTCAGTCGTTTATCAAGTCGGGGTTAAAGGGTATGAGCTGGAAGTGTATGGTTGAGGGCATACATTTGTAGTTACGCTTTGGGTAAGATTTAGAAATGTAAGTGGATCCAGTTGTTTCGAACTCGACATTATAATTTGCAGCCCGACAGCAAGCAACCAACGCCAGAGTAATGCCTGCAAAGGGCTCTACAGACAAAGCAACTGGCTGGGAATCTATGTACTCAGTTTTAAATTTGTCTTCTCTCGCATTGTGCAAGAAACAGCAAGTTCAACAATTGCAAATAAATGCGATGACGGGGGTGCAGGGTGACGATAATATGAGGTAGGAACCAAAAGCGCGATCTTCCTCTGCATGGTTCAACCTGCGCACAGTAACTCGCTGCTGCTGCAGTGACAGCTGTGGGTGAGGAACACTGGGAGCGGCTGCAGCAGCAGCAACAGTAGCAACAGCCCCCACGACGGCAACTGCCTCAGCCGCCACTGCCAGCTGCACTTGCGGTGAAGAGAAAACGTAATTCTTGTACTGCCGTTCCAGCAGCAGCAGCCTGAACAGGGGCTGCAAGAAGCAGCAGCATGTGCTGGTACACGGGCTTTTGGAGTCCTCTTCGAATTGGATTGGCGGCGGTTCCCTTTCCCTTTTTGTATTGTTGTCCAAAGGGAAAGTGAAGTTTGGCTGGTAAACAGTAGAGTCACCGAATCCGCTCAGCAATTCTAGATGCACAAGGAGCAGCAGCAACAGCTGCAGGATGCCACCGATTGTTCGTTGGGGAGCCTTAGAAAAGCTATAGACAGCCCTCCTACTCTTTTACGATGTAGCGTGCCTTCATCGAGATACATCAGCAGCAGTTCCTTATAGCCGTGGAACAGCAGGAAACCTGCCGAAGTGCACATGATGAGCAACAGCTCCTGAAAAAAACAACGGCAACACGGTATTGAATAATGCCGCTGCCCCATTGTGTGCTGCTGCTACAGCGGCCTGACTTCGTTTCCTCCCCTTCGTAGAAGGACCAAAGAAAAACAAAACCCCCTGTTGAAAGATGCGTGCATGAGCGTTTCCATGTTGCTGATGAACATCAACAACTGTTCACGTAATCAGTATTAACCAAGTAAGAAGTTGTTGTTAAAATGAACCTTTGCTGAAATAGACAACTAATGTTTAAAAAGGCAAATGCTGCTCAAATAAGTAACTGTCGTTAAAGTAAATACCTGCTGTTAAAATAAATGGTTGTTTCCAGGACAAACAATTGTCGTTCAAATGGCTAAGTGTTTTTACTATAAATAAATGTTGTTAGAATGGATAGCAAAACACTGCTTTTTACGGTCTCAGCTAATAAACGCATTTCTATACAATTTATATGCACATTTGGAAGGAATAAACTATCATTGGAAAAAGAAAATAAGCCATGCTTTCATAAATAATCGGTCGAAATAAATAGTCGTCGTTGAGATTACTATTGCTGAAAATAAAGACGCCTGGTTTTTTCTCAAAACAGACGTCTCTGCGGACAACGATGCAAGCACGCTGCGGATGAGAAAAAACAAAGGAACTAATTCATCTTATTAACAAGCGAATTCATTTGCAAGCTTCAGTTTGAAAACATTACCTTTATGCGGTTCACCGCGATATTCCCACAAGTTCTACGAAGTGCTGTACAATGCCTGCACCTAAGCGATACTCGCACAAGTTCTACAAGATGCTGTACAATGCAGTTATTACCTGTACGTAGGTTTATGTATACATACATGTACATGCGCATATACGTATATAGATAAATATATATACCCTTATATATGATGTGCATATATATGCACATCCGCAAAGACATGCATAATATATATATATATATATATATATATATATATATATCTTGTATGCATATTGCGTATATTTATGTATATTTACGCGTACGTTGCACATATTTGAGTGCATGCATGTATGTACATCCATTCATAGGTATTTTTCGGCCTTCAGGAATACGCCGTGTTCCTTGTTTTGAGTTTCATCGCGCTACAGCGTAGCGAGTTTATGTCCACTGCTGCGGCTGTTGGCTTGGCCGCGAATGGGGCACGAAACGTTGCGCCTCTCCAGAGGACTTGCTTCTTGCTAGCTTGCCTGTACGACTGAAAACGCACAAGATACTTCGGGTTATCCTCAGCCTTCAGATAACTATTTTGGCTTTTGATGCTTCTTGGAAGGCGCAGGAGGAGGCCCTCAAGGACCGGAGGAACGATTGGAGATGCTCGGCAGAGGCCCCTTCTGGGGTCCCATGGAAGGTGCTGGCAGCGATCATAGCTGTGTTCGTCCAGATGCAGTGTCACCTCATTGACCCCCACGACCGCCTAGTAACTCTTGCAACCTTCTTTGCCTATCGCCAAAGGGTGCAGTCTCAGGACTTCCAGGATCCATGACTGATCTCGGTCTCGTGCTGTCGCTCCCTGCTGCTGCCCCCCAAGACCCACCCGTAGGGGCCACTGGCATGGAATATCGTTGCGGGTCCCCTGCACCAGTTCTTGGCCTTTGTGGCATTCCCGGCCCTCCTGGCTGTCCTGTTGGTCTCCTTGTCCCCACGGTGGGTCCAGATGTACCGGCTTGCTGCGCAGGTGGCTGTGTTACTCCAGCTGGAGGGAAACTTTGCTGTTGCCCTGGACCGCCAAGCAGCGCTCCCAACCTTCTTCTTGTATCTTCAAAGGGGAACTCTGGAGAGCCCTGAGGAGTCGTTCCTACACCAGATGCCCCACCTTCTGCTGTTTCTGCACCTGCTGCTCCGGCACCTCCACCGAAAGGTATGCCTTCCGGTGAATTTGTCGGTTCTTGTGCTGGGGACTGTTCTCCTCTGTCATCCCTGCCGCTGTCCGGCTTAAACAGTGGCCCGCGGAAGCTTGGCCTCCTTACGCTTCTTCTTTTTCCGACGGTTCCAAAACCTTCAGGGTCACCCCCAGGAACCGGTGGACCTGGGGGGACAGCTTCAGAGGGGGTTGCAGGGAGTCTATTATTCGACCGCCTCTTCTCTTCTTCATCTGCGCAGGGCAGTGGACCCACGTCGGGAGGAAAAGCGGCGGGGTCCGGAGTGGGGGGAGGGGGCTTCGTGACACTGCGCTTACCTTTTTTCGACTTACGGGGAAAGTGAAACCTTGCTTGCAAGAAGCTGGGGTGCGAAGGGGAGGGAAGTCCGAACTCTTCTCTTGCGGGCAGAGAAGGCTGACCGAGGAGGCTGGCTCCTTCTCCTTTGGAGGGAACATCCCTTGCAGCTCGCAGATAGATAGCGAAAGAATATGAAAATAAAACGGAAGACAGAACTACGGCCCCAAAGGGTACCGATAAAAACAACTTCTTCGCCATGGTTCTTCCCGCGGCCTTCGCGCTTCGTGGAGGCGCAGTGCAGACACACAGGGGGGTGGGAGAGGCCACAGGGAAGGAATGAGCCGCCAGCAGGAAAATCGTCAACTACTTCTCGACGAAAACAAAGCAGTTTAAAAAATGAAAACGAAGTGAAACAACCAACTGCTACAAAGACGGGTGCCGAGCTCGCCGAAGCGGGTGATCTACAGCCCTTGCTTCGGCCGGCTCTGCCTGGTCTCCATCCCCGCAGAAGCGGCGGTTGAAAATGGTATCTACCGGAAAAAAACTTATTTAAAATAGTATGACATGCAGAATTATTTTATTTAAATGTTTCAATTAAGGATGGGTGTTTATTTTGCCAAAAAAATGCCTTTTCTTCCGCGCCGACCAGCTGTCTCCGCGCCCAGTGGGCCGGTGTCTCGGCAGCGAATTGAAGTACGTCCCGGAGTTAAAATGTTTGTTCCATTTGGTTGATCTACATGCGAGTAAACTTATAATAATATTTATTTAGAAGTCGACGTTATTTTAAACCCGGGCCCTGGTGATTTGTTGCCGCCGAACTGTAGTCAATAGGACACCGGGGTTTCGGGAGCCTGCCCTGAGCGCGGTCCCGCGCTCCCTTTGTGCTAAATCTCCCTCCCGTCTGTACAACTTAAGTGAAAAGGGTAATTTTTACTTGGGAATTTAGCAAATCCTGCATATTCAAGGGAAAGAGGCCCCGTTTCGGGGGAGACATTCCCTGGGGAATCTGCAGCTGGACGCCTGCAAGGTGTTGTGGGGTGCGGCGATCATCGCGCTTGATTATTTTGATGCATTGTTGTGTCATGAATGGCCATCGACTAAACGTGTTTCTCCGTTTTAAAGGTCATACACTGACTCTTGGATGGCCTCTTCGCCCACTTCCTGGCAACTCCACGCTGTATTTTTGCACCCGCCGCTTCTGGAGCACAAGAGGAAACTCAGGGGCTCTTCCATAGTTTCTGCTGCATTTTATAGAAATAGCTCTTCAAAAAACTTAAATTTAATTCAACTTTCTATGAGAAGATTTGGAGCTTTGGCGGCTCGTTGCGGTGCCATTTCCTGGCTTCGTTGAGCTCCTCCTGGGTTCGTGAGGGTTCGCGAGGAAATCCCTGAACTCTGTCTTCTTTCTCGGCAGAGTTCGCCTTCGTGCCTGTCCGCCGTTCAAAGTGTGGCCATATAAGAAATATCATTTTTAACTGCTGTATGTTAGAAAAATAATGATCTGCGTGCCTCTGCGCCTCAATGGCTCGCTGGGAGACCCACGGGCATTTTCCCCCACCGAATCTTTCGAGTTTCTTCCAATATTATGTAGTATTGAGCAACAGTCAAGAGCTAAAATGAATGAAAGGAAAAAGAAGCAAGAAGGGAGGGAAGGAGAGGCAGTTGAAAAAAGGGAAGAGGAGATAAAGATGCGAAGACTATTGGCAACCAGGCGGCTGAAGCATCCTCCGAATAGACCGCTGAGCATTGGGTAAAACTGTCTCCAAAATATACTCTTTAAAAACCACGTAATTCTTTTTAACTAGAGGCGAATTTCTACAGTGACGAAGACGCTCTCTTCTGGTGCGCAGTTACACGGAGACGGACGAGGCGAATCAATCGAATGAATGGGGATGTATTTGATTTGGTTGATTTTGCTCGTTTGCCCCATTTTAATTGTCGGTTTGTTTTGTTCACTTCCTCTTGTAGGCAACAGAACCCAAACCCTTTTAGTTTTGTGTGTCAAGACTAGGCTGAGAGGTCTACGTGTTGGAGCTACAAAGGCTAGGTTTCATGCGTGGGGTTCAAGTAGTCGACAAACTGAATGTATCGATCTGTTTAAAAACCGGCATTACCATTTGGAGGTCGTCTAAACGGTGCATGCAAGCATTTGAAGAAACAATGTAGAATATGTTCAAGTTTATTTGCTCGGCTCCTTTGTCTTTGCTTTTGTACCATGCACCAAACAGAACGCCCAACAACTGCAACCGCATCTAGTGGCATTGCAAATTGCAGGACTCTCCTTTCGCCATTCTGCGTTGCCTTATTACTCCACTTCTGTTTTTGCAAACATTCTCGGCATTTGTTTCCAATGATTATTGTTATTCTTATTATTTAGTGCTCAATCGCGACCAAAACAGCTGCATGCAAGGGCGTGTGAACCGAAGACCACGCGTAGTGCGTGGAGACAACGACAACCAGCCCCCGACAAACCGCACGTGTGCAAATGGAACATTCTTTTCGTTATTTCTTTGTTTTGTTTTTGGGACTCATTATTTCCATTTGTGCAAATCTTCACTCCCCTCTTTTGGGCCGAAGGCGCACGCGTGCAGCGCAGTAAAGCGTGAAGATCGCATCGCCCAGTCGGCGGGAAGAAAACCCGTGTAGTACTCTTCTCGCTGAGTATCTTTGCAAGAAATAAGCTAAATCCAAAACTCCTTTTGTGTATTAAACGTATTTGCATTATTCTTGACTGCGTTTGTACCGCATTTCACAGCTGGAGCCGGCGTCGAGGTGACCGTCGCCGCCGTGCTGCGGCTGATGAAGGAATGCTAGGGAGAAAATTTCCAGCACATTTGATTACGTCTCTTTTTCTTTATAAAAGTGATTTTTACATTGTGTCAAGGAAAAATATTATCCTTTTAAAAATAATCCAATGAAGCGCAGGAAACAGCCACAGGCGCGCTGCCCAGCTGCAGCTGAGCCTTACCCAACTGTTTAAGTCGAGTGATCGCGTAGCTGGCTGACTACTGCCTCCAGGTTTTGGCGTTTGTTTCTATTTGCAGCTAGTGAGTTTTAATCACTAAATATTACTAAACTTAGTAAATAACCCAAAAGCTTGGCTTGACTCTCCAACACAAAAACAAGGCAGTCTCTCAAACTCCATTGGTCAGCCGCCGTTCTTTAAGCCTTTCAACAAAATGAAGATCAACATCCTGGGGGGTCCGGCTCTGTTGGTTACTTTTGTCACTTTCTCTGATTTGCCTCTTCGTTCGCTTTCCGTTCGCTTGGGTCTGTCTTTATCTCCTGCGGCATACGACTTTAATCAGTCCTTGTCGCCTGCAGATGACGGCGGGTGGGAGATTAACGAAGATGAATCACTTACTGAAGGCCCGCCAAGCTTCTCTCAAAATTCTCTAGCCGAGATGAAAGCAACAGACTCTTTGAAAGGAGGGCCTTCGGTCTCCAGTGGAGCGTTAAAGGCTGTGGGTCTCCTCTCAGACGATTCGGAAGAAGCAGAGGAACTCGGGGAGGGAGGTATGTCGCAACTGGAGGAAAATACAAAAAAAATATCAGATATGAGCGAATATAGGAACGGTCAAACAACACTGGAAAAAAGTGACGGCAGTTTCTTGCAGCTCGACAAGCTTCGCAGCTGGTGGAAGCAAAGGCGGGAAAGACGAGCTCGCAGGAAAGAACAACGAAGGCTGCAACGCGAAGAGGAAAAGAGACAAAGGAGATTAAGACGACAGGCCGAAGGAGACCGAACGGATTCATATTCAGATACTGACTCCTATACCTCATCCGAAGGAAGTCTTTGGAGCGGCAGCGACAGGGAAGATTTGTTGGGTGGTGGTTCAACAGAAGAAGAGAGCTTGGAAGGTAGCCCATGAAAAACTAAAGCAACTGCTTGAGAAGTGTTTCAGCAAACCATAGCGCAGCACTAACAAGCAAATAAAGACAAATGATGTATGAAAACCCAAAGGGAAGGACAGAAAGAAGGAAAGGAATTTGCAGCCCCGTTCCTTTTTGGTTGTTCTACTCCCCCACTGCCTTTAGCCTTCGTTTTATTTATTTTCTGCAACAAAGAGAATTTATCAATGTATACTGAACATACACAATGCCACACGCACATACATTAGAACCGTCGTATTTTCGCCTCAGGCGGTGCTAGTTGCTTGCTTTGTTCTTCCGTAGAAAGCAAACAGAATTTTGCGTGAGTTGCCAACAAATGGGAAGCCCTGAGTTTCGCTATTCCTGCCTTTCTTTGCTGTTTTAGAGTGAAACAGGATAGTGTTTTCGCTGTCTTAGAAGCCCATACATCCCACTGCATTATATTGTCACCTCTATGTTCACCTCCTTTTTTGCTTCTATTCAGAAAATGTATTTCTTAAACAAATGAAGTCAATACCCAAACTTTCGTACATTTAGTGGGGTAAATTTTGGCAGCCTCAGGCCCAGCAACGAAACCGTTCCTGCTGCTGTTGCTGCTATTGCTCCAGAAGTTGTGTTGAAGTAAAAACAATTAGTGAACACCCCAAAGGAGACAACGGCGTAGTGGGTTTGAAGGTGTACAGTAAAATCTCTCCTTTTGCCTTCATCTGCGGAGACTGCCTGCATGTGGCATTAGTCGTACATACTACTAGGCTTCTTCTTCAAAAGTAATAAAGCGAATTAAGCTTTCAGAAACAGTTGTAGGATAAATAAACAACGAAAGGTAAACCGAATGGTCGTTGGGGTTTCCGAGATCAGCGGTGCATAGCTTGAATGGCGAAGAGGGGAGCCAACGATTCTTCAGTCTTCGACCCACCTAAATAACCTTCATAGGCCTCCTTTCCCTTCTTCTGATAGAGTGGATGCTTCTCCTGCTACTGTTGCTGCTGCTGCTTCAGCAGTTCCTGCTGCAGCGGGTGCTGCTGTCACTGCTACTGCACTGCCATCGAGTTATTCTTCCATTCTGTTATTGCTTCGTTGAAGGCAAAGTAAAATAAGTTGTAATTCTAAGCGCATGCGGATAGGTGTATATGCAAGCAATTGAAGGAAGCGTGCTGTCATGATTGTGCATTGGTTGGTTTGTCTATTAGTATTTAATCTGGAGTTGTCATAAAGGTGCTTAGATTCATGCCCTAAACCCTTAACGGCGCATGCACCTGCAAACATATTTAAAAAAGGAAAGTCCTCAGCAGGTGTTTTCAAATACTCTCTGATCAGCTGCAGCAGCAGCAACAACAACATCTGCAGCAGCAACAACAGCAGCAACAGCAGGGGTGTAAGCTGTCAGCTGCGCAGACAGAGGCAAGCTCCGTCTGATGTGGTTGGGTGTATCCTCCTTCAGCACTTGGATTCTAGAAGCCACAGAAGCCTACGAAAACAATTTCCTACGGTGTCAATGCATGCATCAGATGGTAGAGGAGGGCGTGGGTTTTATGAATGAATGCACGTGAGGGGTTTGCAGCAAGGATCGGGCTCTGTCTCCTCAGACAAAATATGCTTGCATTTCTGTCTCTGTCTCTAAGTAAAATCTAACAATGTCTCCATAGACCCATGCTTCCCTAAACCGAATCAATCCTTGTCTCTCCGTCTCCGTCTCGTACACAGAAACTGTCTCTGTCTCCTATGCTTTAGAAAGAGTGTCTCTGTGCCACAGCATCCTTCGCCAGAATCTACCTTTGTTTCTGTCTCCTTGGCTGAACAGCATCTAACACTATGCCGCCAAACAGCGCCTCTGTCTCTGGCTGTCTCTCTGTCTCTGTCTCCGTACAGGAAGCGTGTTCCTCTTGCGTCTCTGTCGCTCTCCATAGACGTAATATGCCACGGTCTCTGTCTCCGTAGAGAGACTCTGCGTTTTCATCTGTCTCCTTAGACGAAATCCCCATATGTCTCTGTCTCCTTAGAGAACCTCTGCCTCTGTCTCTGTCTCCTCAGATAGGATCTGTCTCTGTCTCTGCTTCCGTTTCTTTGTCTCATTAACCAGGATCTACGCCTGTCTCTGTCTCCTCATATTTAAACAGAATCTCTGTATCTGTCGCTATCTCCTTAAGGGAGATCTGCCTCTGTCTCTTCTGACGGAGTCTGCTGATGTTTCTGTCTCCATCGACATAATATCTCCTTGCTTCTATTTCCATAGACAAAATATGTATCTGTCTTTGTCTCTTCTGTGTCTGTCTCTGGCTTCCTAGACAGAATTCGTTCTTGCTGCCTTCTCCCTCTCCCTTGGGGAAATTGTTTCGGTCTCTGCCTGCATAGAAAGATTTATCTTTGTCTCTGTCTCTGTCTCCCTTTTAAACAGAACCTCTCTGTGTCTCTGTTTCATTCTCTTTAGACAACATCTGTCTCTGTGGCTATCTCTGTATCCTCTTGAGGCAGAATATGTTTATTTCCCTCCCTCTTCTTTAGACAGACTCTTTCTCTGTCTCCTCCGCTTCAAACAGAATGTGTCTCTGCCTCCCTTTCATTCGACGGAGTCTGTCTCTGTCTCTGTGTCTTTCTCTGTCTCCTGTACTTTAGACAAAACATTTGTCTCTGTCACCCCTTTAGACAGAATCTGTCTCTGTCTCTTCACCGAATTAATTTTCTGTCTCTTTCGCTGCCTCCTCTTCGGACCGCGTCTGTCTCTTTTTTTCTTTCTGTCTCTGTTTCGTCTACAGACAGGATCTGTCTCCCTCTGCTTCTCTTCAGGCTGAATATCTACCCCCTTCTGTCTCCATTTCCCTACCCTGTCTGTGTCTCCTCCTATTCATACAGAATCTTTCTCTGTCTCTGTCTCCATAGACAGAAGCTATTGGGAAACGGAGATTCCGTTCTCTGTCTCGCTGTCTCCTAATCAGACAGGACCTGCCTGTGTCTATTTAACTAAGTGGCTTTCTGTCTCTGCCTCCGTTTTCTTCTATTCAAAGAAAGTTTGTCTCTGTATCTATTAACAGAGTAAATTTCTTTCTCTATGTCTGTCTTCTTCTATTCAAACAAAATATTTCTCGCCGCTGGGCTCCGGAAGAAGGAGAGACTAAAGGGGATGCTGAGCTGCATTTTGTTGAATGTTTTAATTCTTTAGACAACCAATTAATTAATTAATTAGTTAATTAGTCAATTAATTAATAGTGAACATCTGGGTTATCATATATATATACATATATATATGTCTATATATACATATGTAATATACTACAATGGAAAGTACGAGAATAATAATAAGCAAACGAACTTAAGAATTAGAAATAATTATTTCTTAATCAGGTAAAAACTAAACATTTAATGCTATTTAAATTAAGAATATTTTTGGTTCTATGCAAACGTATTTTCTACAGGCATAATGAATATATTCAAATAGATAAGTATACCCATTACCACCTATAAAATTCTTACTTTGCAACTAAGACAAATTCTTAAGCATAAACATATAAGAATTCCAATAATAATTATTAGAATCATAATAATAATAATTATTAAAGCTTGTTATTTTTTAAAACGTATTTCATAATATATGATATATATATATATTTCATAATATATATAATATATATATAATATGTATTAATATATTATATATTTCATAATATATAATAAACTAACTCTCAGCGGTCTCTCGCTGGGAGAAAAAGGGCTTCAATGCAAACATATCACAACTCCAGAGTTCTATTCACTTGCATGTTGCATTCTATAGAGGCGATTACTTCATCTGCATGCATGCAGTTAATAGGCAAGTACGCAGTTCCCCTTCATCCCTTTAGCATCAGCCTCTTTACATGTGTGCATGCTTGGATGCAGATCGTTTCTTTCGTATCTTTTCTTAGCAGATGGCTGCGCTGTCTCTCCCATTATATATTTAGTGGCAGCATAATATTATAATTAAGTGCGGAAGTCTCCAATGCACTTCTGCACGTTCGCCGCCTTCACTTCTGAAAGTATTAAAGGGGCTGCAGCCGCGTTGTCCTTATTGTGGAGAGAAACTAGGGATAACAGCAGCAGCTGTTCAAATGGAGTTTATCCTTAAAGAGCCTTGTTCAGAGTGTTTAACTAACAGACCCTTGCAAAGAATGAACCGAGATCCAGAGAAACTGCAATACTGCAATGCTGGCGAGCCCTTAACTTGAAGGGCGTTGTATTTCACTTTGTTTCATATAGAGGCAACGTATATTCATCTATCTTTCATGCATTATGGTGTATCTGCTCTTAAATCTGTCGAATGTACGTGATTACGAGTTTCGTGCTGCCCTTAGCTGTCTGGGCCATCGACTCGTTTGGTCTAGTTTTAAACTGTTTGCTTTCTTCTGCTTAAATGTATGCAAATGATGCATTGTTTCGGTTTTGTCGCTTCACTTTCCCGGCATTTGGTGTCAGTTCAACTCAAACGCCGTCGCATGTGCGCACTGTCTTTCCACTTCATCGGCGGTCGCAGGTATATCTTCACTGACATCCTCTGACGTTTCCAGGAACGCATAATGCTGCATTCCAATTCACAAATAGCAAAATGAAACGCTTCGGCTAGAAAAAAACAAGAAAGATAAGAGAGAAATGAAACAGGCGTCCGTACAGGTCAATCGAAGATCTGGGGAAATCGCAGCGCTCAGGCGGCAGCAACGGGAGCAGAACTTCTCCACTGCTGTTACTTTTTCTTGAGCACTGAAGTAATTGAAGTACATTTGTCGTTCGTTTCTTCTAAATATACTGCTTTGCTCGAACGGGCCTTGGCAATTATTACCAGCAGCGTAGGGCTGCGCGGTCGTTGCTGCCATTGCAGGTTTCCAGGTGTATCTTCAGCTGCAGATAAACTTGTTGTTTGACGAGCACGGCCAAACATTGAATGAAGCGCCATAAAGAGCAATACGTTTAAGTACAGCCCCTTCTTTGCCTTACTTGCGGGTGCATAGACACCTGGAGAGTGCCCGACATAGACAAGAACGAAGCAGAAACCCAATAACCTCCTACAGACGAAGCTGCAATGGTGGAACCCAAACGTAACAGCAGCAAGCGTGACTGAGGCAGCTGATCTCTGCTGCTGCTGCTCCTGCTGCTGCTGGTTCTCCCGCTGCTGCTGCTGCTCGTGCTGTTGAAGACGAGTATCTGCGGCGTTCACGCATGCGATGGTTTGGCGGGCTCTGTACTATCCACAGCAATGGCCGCCTACTTCTCTCTGTTTCTGCTGCTGCAGCAGCTGCTGCTGCAGCCACTGGTTCTGCAGCTGCTGCAGCACGCGCAAGCAGACCCATCGGTGCCGAGTCTGCAAAGCATTGCTGCAGCAGCATCGGCAAGAGCACCAGAAGCTGGAGCTCTTAAAGATGCAGCACCTCCAGTGAAGACAGCAGCAACAGAAGCAACGCTACGAGGAGGACAGGGGCAGCAGGATTCTGCTGCTGCAGTTTCAACAGCAGTGCCCTCCGAACCAGCAGGAGCAACAACAGCAGCAGCAAATGCAACGGAGGGTGCAGCGGACTCAGCAGCAGCAGAATCAGTGGAGCGGCTGCTAAAAGGGCAGGTGAAGCTGCCTCTAACCTACAGCAGCATACTCTCGTTGCTGCCGCAGCTGCAGCAGCGCTTCCCGCATCTTGTGCGAGTAAAAGATGCTGTTAAGACCTTTGACCTCGAGGAGGAAGCAAAAGAGTACGACCACTTGAACCTGCTGCTGCTTTTACTTGTGCTGCTGCTGCTACTGTTGCTGCTGCTTCTGTTGATTTGGCTGCTACTGTGGCTGCTGCTGCTGTTGATTTGCCTGCTACTGTTGCTGCTGCTACTGCTTCCGTTGCTACTCTTGTTGCTGCTGCTTCCGCTGTAACTGTTGCTGGTGTTGCTGCCACTGCTAGTTGTGCTGTTGCTGCTGAAACTGTTGCTGCTAATGCTGTTCCTGCTGCTGTGCCCGGGTTGTTGGTACACTCCCAGTGGCTGCCAATTCGCTGCAGCCTCGGCTGAAAGCTGTTGTTGCTGCTGTTTTGGTCGCTGCTGCTGCTGCTGCGGCATTGGGTGCTGCTGCTGCGTTTTTCGTAAGAGAATGTGTGCTGCTGTGCGTTGGCGTTGCTGCTGCTGATGCTGCTGCTACTACGAATACTACTGGTGTTGCTGCTGCTGTTCCAGCAGAGTGTTGCCAGGGGCGGGTGGAGCATTACTTCGTTGACTCTACGGTTTAGGGTTTAGGGTTTAGGGCTTAGGGTTTGCGGCTGCTGCTGCAGGCTTATATGTGGGAGGGAGACCTGCCAAGTGCCGTATGTAGAACTGGGCCTCCGCAGCAGCCTCAACAGGAGCACCCCTACTCTATTTTACAGGTAAGATTCTGCGAGGTTTATAGGGTTTAGGGCTTAGGGTTTAGGGTTTGTCGACTTGGGGGTTCGGGTTTAGGGTTTAGGTTCTCAGCAGGCTGCGTTGCCCGCTGCACCCGCGCCGGCCTTATGCAATTGCAGTGCATCTACCCCAGTTAGGGTTTAGGGTTTAGGGTTTAGGGTTTCTGTTTGTTGCAGCGGGCTGCTGCACGGAGACGAAGTGGTTGGCCCCACACTGGCGGTTTATTTGGTTGCGCTCCTTGCCTCGCAGTTTACTGAAATCGACGAGGTCAGCAGCAAACCCTAAACCCTAACTAAACCCTCAGTTGCCGCTGTCTCCACCTGGAATGAGCATGAAGGGTTTGCATTAGCAGCAGCAGCAGCAGCGCTAGACTTCTTTGTTTAAGATGCTTATGGTGGCCAGGGTAGTGGTTTTGGAGTTAGGTTTATGATATGTTTAGGGTATAGGGTTTAGGGTTTTGAGGGGTAAAGGTTTTTGCAGAAACGCGGTCAAGACAGGTAGTAAACGGTTCGGTCTTAGTGGTTTAGGGTTTAGGGTTTAGGGTCTAGGGTTTGTGTTTAGGTGTATTATTTGCTATCCAACCGCTTGCTGGTGGTATTTCCTTTCTTTAATCCTTGGGGCTTCTCACGAGATAAAAGAGAAGAAAGAGGCATTGACCCCAACAGAGACTTCCCCTACCTCAACAGCAAATGCTTCTCATCCGTAACCTCCAGGCAAATCCCAAACCCTAAACCCTAAACCCTAAGTTTTAAGTAATATAAGGCCTTGCTAGCGGGGCAGGTGTCCCGGGAAACGGCATGCGAATGAGGAGGCGAAATCCGAAGGGTTTAGGGTTTAGGGTTTAAGTATCGCATGTGATCCGCCTACAGCCACATCCAGATGCGTCTGTTTAGGGTTTAGGGTTTAGGGTTTAGCGTTTGTGTTTAGGCTGGTGGCTGCTGCCTTCGAACGCTATTTATTTACTGCGGGGATTACGTGGCATGGCGGCATGCGAGCGATCGGTCGGCCTTGGGGCTCCTTTGACCACTCAGAGCCTGTAAGCAAGGGTTTAGGGTTTAGGGTTTAGGGTTTAGGGTTTGGATTGAGTTGGGTTGCTTAATTCACGTCCAGGGTTTAGGGTTTAATGAGGCATGAGCTCGCCTCGTGCTTGCTAATTTATGGTTTGCATCTCCCAATTTAGGGCGTAGGGTTTAGGGTTTAGGGTTTAGGGTTTGCTGAGGCTGTTCAGGTTGGACAGGGTTCATTCCGCAGTCGGCCTTCGCCTGACGATGTGTCGTTTGCCAAGCTCGGCCAGTGGCTGCAGGTAAATTAGGGTTTAGGGTTTATGCTCAAGGGTTTAGGGTTTCCTAAACCTTAAACCCTAATCCGCCTCGATTGCTTGCTTGGGCAAGCTCCTTCTCAGGGTTTATGGTTTAGGGGTTTAGGGTAGGGTTGTCGAGAGTTGTTGTGGCTGTTTAGGGTTTAGGGTTAAGGGCTGTTGAGGGTTTAGGGTTATTTAGGGTTGTTAAGGGTTTCCTTGAGGGTTGATTATGGGTATTTAGGGTTTAGGGCTGTTGAGGGTTTATAGTTGTTTAGGGTGTGGTAGTTGAGGGTTGTTTCAGGTCGTTTAGGGTTTAGGGTTTAGGGTTTAGGGTTTAGGGTTTAGGGGTTTTGTGTGTACAGGCAGCTGGGGGTCCAAGCTCAACGGAGTATTCTTCTCCTTATTTATCAGCATATTTTGTGGAGGAGCAGCGGCGCCGTCGTGAGCAGCAGCAGCAGCAAGCGATACAGCTGCAGCAGGAGCGGCACCGCCATTCATTGTTGAGTTTGTTTTGGGGTGTTGATCAAGATGAAGATGCTGCATTAGAAGCCCCAAGCATTGCTCATGCATTCTACCCAGAGGGCCCTGTCTCGGATGTTATTTATCCAGTTAATGGGGGTTTAGAAGATTGGGCATACTCTGCAGCTTTTCAGTCGAGCCCCCTACCTATCAGTGCATGCAAAGCCAGCCCCAAAACTCCCCGCATGCATGCGCATGCGCATGCAAAGGCGCATGCGCAGGCAAAGGCGCATGTAGCGCGCATGCATACGCCCTGGTGGCAGCAGTGGCTTCCTGCTGCGATTGCAGCGAAGCAACAGGACCTGCTAGAAGAGCATCCACAGACACCTCAAGAAGAAGACAAAGAAAAAGATAAAGATAATAAAGATAAAGATAAAGATAAAGCCGTCACGAGAGACTACTCGGCTGTACGCTGCGCCATCTTCCTTGTTGAGACGCACGATGATAAACACCCGAAGCCAGAAGAATACGGTGCGCACCAATGCACGAATGCATGCATGCATGCATGCACGAACAACAAACATCTTGGTGTATTTACCCTCCCTCATTAACCTCACTTCTTCGCCTTCTTCTGCTTATTCTTGCCTTCTCAGTTTTTGTATCTTTCCCTTTTTGATTAGGAGGGTTTAGGGTTTCGGGCTAGGGGTTCGCGGGTCATGACATAGGGTTTAGGGTTTAGGGTTTAGGGTTTAGGGCTTGTTGCAGGGGAACTTCCGGTGTCTTTGGTGGCTTCGCCGTCTGTAGTCGATGGCCTGCTCGCTCGCAATATCCGCATGGCGATGAAAATGGCAGAAAAAGCGCAGCCTGATATCCTCATTCTGGCGGCTCCTTCGATGTATCAGGCCCCAGGTACCTCATTAGGGTTTAGGGTTTAGGGTTTAGGGTTTGGAGGGGGGGTTGTTTGGGCCTGCAGGTGTCAATGCAGACCTCTGCAGGCGCTGCTGAATTCGAATGAATGCATCGAAGCAGATGCCGAGGGCTTCGGGTTTGGGGCTTACGGTTAGGGTTTAGGGTTTAGGGTTTAGGGTTTATGGCTTGGGTGTTTGGTTTAGGGTGTATTGCCAACTTCGCCCTGTGGCCTGTGGGCTGCGAGAAGCTCAATTCGATGCGTGTGGTGGTGAGGAATCTCTCTCTCTCTCTATATATATATATATATCTTATAATGCTCTTGTTTGCTGGGAACTTGCCTTCCTGGGGTGTATGTGCACCGCAGCTCAGCGCATGCATGCACAGCTTTCGTATGGTCGTTGTTTCGTGGCTGCTTTATAAGTATTTATGCATGCATGCGTGCATAAACACATGCATGCATGCATAGAGCGACCGTGGCTGTTTTGGGGCTTTGTTGGTGCAGACGAAGCAAGGGAAATGCCACGAGTTTGTTAAAAAGAGTAAAGTGGCTTTTCCTCCGGATATCGAAAATGCAGACTTCGATGAAGATGAACACGAGGGTAAACTTGCTGAAAGTTTTGTTGTTTTTTTTCATGTTCTTTCTCACTTACTTTTCATTTTATTTTCCACTTTTTTAATTTTTTGTTCGGTCTTTTTCCTTTTTCAATCTTTGTTTATTGTGCCGCGCATTCATTGTTTTTGTTTGTTCTGTACAATAGATAACTAATTGCATAAATGAAACAATTAATCAATTAGATTTAATAAATAAATTAAATAATTAGTTAATCCTTTTCCATTTTCTTTTTCGAGTTTTGCCCCTTTTTGTATTCTTTTTCATGTTGCATTCTTCATTTCCATTATTCTTTTTTCACGTTTTGTTTCCGATCTCGTTTCTTTTTCCTCTCTTTATTTCTTTTCCCCTTTTTGCTGCCTTTGTTTTTCCTATTTTCCTTCACGTTTCGCCTTCTTTGTTTTGATTGTTTGTTTTTCGTCTTGTTCAATTCATCATTATCATTTTCTTTCATCTTTCATTTCAAGGATGAGGCGTTGTTCATGCTTATTTTTATGCAGTCTCCGTTGTTTTTTTGTTGACTTTGTTTGTGTTTGCATGCAGTGTACGAGTTGACTGAAGCCTGGCATGCAGCGCCTTTGCTAAACAGCGAGAAGATTTTGAATAGGAGTTGCAGATCTGCTGCTGCATGGGAGCGGCCGCAAGGAGATGCACCCGAGCCTTTCTTTCGCAACTGGACAAAGAATTACGATGAAATTCATGATGCCTTCAGCAAGGCAGAGAGAGAAGGCATGGAATTCGTTCGATTTAAAGTACCCCCGGAGACGCCTGTCAGCATACAAGGGTTTAGGGTTTAGGGTTTGGGGAAGAGAGAGGGCGGGGCCGTGAGGTTTAGGGTTTGGGGTTTAGAGTTTGGGGTTTGGGGAACAGAGAGAGCGGGGGCCTGGGGTTTAGGGTTTAGGGTTTGGGCCTTAGACTATAGGGCTTAAAAAGTAAGAAACAGGGTTCGGCTTCAAGGGGAGAGCTCACGAGAAGGTGCTTAGGGTTTCCAAATCTTCTGTTTTGTGCTAGGCGCTGTACGCTGGGATTTAGGGTTTAGGGTTTAGGGTTTGCAGCTTTGCTGTTGCTGATGGTGGGTGCTGCAGTCTGGAGATGTATGCATTTTATTGCTGGGAGAGTTTGATAAGGTAATTTCAAACCCTAAATTCTTTTAAATAAATAATAAGCCCTTCTCAGACCTTGAAGCTGTTTCTGTCCTCCGTAATTCTGGGTGTGGGGCTGCGAAGCTTGCATCTCGTCAGACCTTCCGACGTATCTGGGGTTTAGGGTTTAGGGTTTAGGGTTTAGGGTTTGTGCTGCAGGAGTGGACGGAGAAGCTGCCTCGTGCCGATCCCCCTGTGCCTCCTCAGTCTTGGCTGGCTAGGAGCCGCGGCGAAAACCCCCGGGGTAGCGCTCCTAAAGGAGCTGCAATCATAAGGGGAGGCAAACAGTGGTTAGCTGCTGCTGCTGCTTTGCTGCTGCTGCTGCTGCTTTGCTGCTGCTGGTCCAGCTGCAGCGCAGTTGCTGTACAGAATTGAGAGTAGAGCGTTTCCCCGAGGGGTTTGGCTTTGGAGTTGTTCTAGGGTTTAGGGCTAAGGGTTTAGGGTTTGAGGGATTGGTATCTGCTTCTTTTTTTTCTTTGTATTTTTTAGTTTTTAGTTTCTTTATTCCTCCTGACGCCGTCGTACCTCTGCACTCTGCTGCAAACCCTAAACCCTAAACCCTAAACCCTCGTGTTTGCGTATTTTTTCAGGATTTTCCCGGTGCGATCGCCGGCCTTTCCTGGCAATTTGACCCCCGTTGGAATTCCTCTACAAATTCGAGATGATGCAATTGAGGCTTTTGCTGCTGTCTCCCTTGTGCTGCCCGCAGCAGCAGCAGCAGGAACAGAAGCAGCAGAAGCAACAACAGCAAAAGCAGCGGCACCAGCAGCAGCAGCAGCAAGAGCAGCATCAGAGATCGTAGCAGCAGAAGCAGATGCAACGGGAGAAGCAGCAGCAACAACAACAGCAGCGCAACAGCAGCAGGTGCTGCAGGTGTCGCTTACTGTGTCTGGCTTCCTCAATGAAGATCCAGTCTTCTTTAATCCCTACACCCGGCTGCTGCTGCCCGCGAAGCAGCTGCAGCAGCAGCAGCAGCAGATGCAGCAGCAGCAGGAGTGGGAGAAGCTCGGCTTTCAGCCGCTTCCAAGTGCAACAAAACCAGCAGCAGATGTGCTGCTGTCCGTACACCCCAACCTATCAGAGCTTCCTGAGGGTTTCCTCTTCATTCAAATAGAGAGGCGCGACCCTCAGTACAGCAGCAGCAGCAGCAACAACAGCAGCAGCAGCAACGACAACATAGTGCACGTCGCTACGATTGCGACCGGGCGAGAAGGCGTGGAGCAGCAACAGCAGCAGATGCAACAGCAGCGGCGGCTGCAGAGGCAGCAGCAGCGGGCGCCTAGTCGAGTGCTGCTGCAGACAGAAGGAGAGGTTAGGGTGCGCTTGAGGGTTTCTGTTTCTCGTATTCTGGGTCAGGGGTTTATTGCTTCCTGGGTGCCTGCTGCTGCTGCTGCTTCGGATGCAGCAGCAGCAACAACAACAACAGCAGCAGCAGCAGCAGCTGCTGCTGCTGCTGCAGTGCAGACGGGGGCTTCTGTCTCGGCAACTGCTGCGCTGGCAGGCAGCCAGCATACTCCTCAGCTGTATGTACACCTGAACGAGGATTTTAATGCGTATTTAAATACAAAAGGAGGCAAACACCCGACTAAGATAAACCCTTACATGTTCTTCCCTTACGTTCGTAGCTTTAATTGTTTGCTGGAGCCAGCAGGGGCTCGGACTGGGCAGTCTGCTGCTGCTGCTGCTGCAGCAGCAGCAGCAGCCGTTAAGGGCTCCAGCGGTGCGGTGTCTGTACACCGCAAGCTGCTTCTGCTGCCAGACCCCACACCAGCGCAGCAAACGGGTTTGCTGCTACACGGAGTTATTAATATATCTTCTTTGTGGATGAAGCCCCACGACGGGCAGACAAATATACAAGGAGAGTTCTCTGCAAATAAACGCTCAAACGCCTCGCTGCTTCTGCAGGTAAGTTAACCCTAAACCCTAAACCCTAAACCCTAGTAAACCCTAACGCTGCTAGAAACGCAACATAGCGACGGGCACGGAAGGGGCTTCCTGCCGACGGCAGCCACTTCATGCTCTTTTTGGGTTGTAGGCTTAGGGTTTAGGGTTTAGGGTTTAGGGTTTGGTTTTCAGTTTGCGGAGGGATGCTGCCCTACTTTGTTGCTGCATCGCCAAGAAGAGGGTTGGGCTGTACGTGCAGCTCTCACTGTACAAAAATGCGGATGCGGACCCGGTACATTTGCTGCTGCTGCTGCTACTGCTGCGGCTGCTGGTGCTGCTGTTATTGACTTGCTGCCGCTGTTCTAGTGCTGCTGCTGCTCTGGTGCTCCTGCTGCTGCTGTTGGTGTATGATGTGGCTTCTTCATTTTCTGTTGCTGCGTACTGACAGGCACCGTTGTAACGGCCTCCCTGGTCCCTATCGGGATCAGCAACAGCAGCAGCAGCAGCAGCAGCAGCAGCAGCAGCAGCAGCAGCAGCAGCGGGCTTGACGACGATGAAGAGCTTCTCGGTGCTCGCATCCTTAATCCAGAGGAGGCCTCTGAAGCAGCAGCAGCAGCTGCTGATGCAGCTAAAACAAATGATGTTTGGCCTGCAATCGGGGTGTACGCGGAGTATCGTGAACACCGTGAGCGTTTGCTGGAGCAGCTGCAGCAGCAGCAGCAGCAGCAGCAAGCGGAGCAGTCGCCGGATCAGCAGCAGCAGCAGCAGCAGCCTTCTTCTTTGACTCCGCAGCAAATAGCAGCAGCCGTGCGGCGCGCAAGCGGCGTCCAAGGTATTGCTGGTGCTGGTGCTGCTGCTGCTGCTGGTGCTGCTGCTGCTCTCACAGGGGGTGAGGCTTCTGCTAGCTCTGGCGCCACTTGGGGTTTCAGCAAAGACGGAGGAAAAACAAAATACAATGAATTCTTCTTCTGGGGTATTCTACTTCTCATAGGTATGAGCTGTACATACACCGCAAACTTAAGGCCAACGCATACACCTCAGCTGCGTATACACCCCAGTCGAAACTTTACCCGTACACGCACATACACACACACTGCATATCCTGCACCCCACAACTATGTATGCTTGCACAGATGCATGCATGCATGCATGCATGCATGCATTGCTGCTGCTGCTGTTGCTGCTGCAGCAGCAGCAGCTGCTGATGCAGCTAAAACAAATGATGTTTGGCCTGCAATCGGGGTGTACGCGGAGTATCGTGAACACCGTGAGCGTTTGCTGGAGCAGCTGCAGCAGCAGCAGCAGCAGCAGCAAGCGGAGCAGTCGCCGGATCAGCAGCAGCAGCAGCAGCAGCCTTCTTCTTTGACTCCGCAGCAAATAGCAGCAGCCGTGCGGCGCGCAAGCGGCGTCCAAGGTATTGCTGGTGCTGGTGCTGCTGCTGCTGCTGGTGCTGCTGCTGCTCTCACAGGGGGTGAGGCTTCTGCTAGCTCTGGCGCCACTTGGGGTTTCAGCAAAGACGGAGGAAAAACAAAATACAATGAATTCTTCTTCTGGGGTATTCTACTTCTCATAGGTATGAGCTGTACATACACCGCAAACTTAAGGCCAACGCATACACCTCAGCTGCGTATACACCCCAGTCGAAACTTTACCCGTACACGCACATACACACACACTGCATATCCTGCACCCCACAACTATGTATGCTTGCACAGATGCATGCATGCATGCATGCATGCATGCATTGCTGCTGCTGCTGTTGCTGCTGCTGCTGCTGGATGGGGCTGTTGTTGCGTCTTTCTGTTTTGCTGCCGCAGCAGTTTCCGTTGGCGTTGGCGGCTGAAGTATGAATATTTTTAGTTAGCGTTATTTGATTTATAATTTTAATTATTGCTGTTTTCTTGCTTTTGTTTGTTCTTTATCTTCTCTCTTTTGTTTGTTCTGCTGCTGCGCTGCGATTTGAAGGGGCCCTGCTGCTGCTTTCTGCTGCTGCGTCAGTTAAGAGGAGAGGCGGCATTTGCTGCTGCTTTGCTGCTGCTTCGAGGCAGCAAGTACGTTATGAGGTCCTAGGGGGAAGTGCAGCAGAAGCAGCAGCTTCAACGACGCGTTCTGCTGCAGTTGCTCCTGCGGATGCTGCTGCTGACGTTCCTGCTGCTGGTTCTGCTGCTGCACAGCTGCAGCAGCATGCTGTAACAGCAGAAACACCGAATGAGGCTCCCCCCCCTGCTGCTGCTCCTGCTCCTGCTCCTGTAATATGACGGGAAAGACGCTGTTCATGCATGTAGTGCAGCAGCAACAACGCCAGCAGCAGCAGCAGCAACTGCAGCAGCAGCAGCAGGAACTGCAGCAGCAACTACAGCAGCAGCAGCAGCAGCGGCTGTACCTGCAGCGCACTTTTATTTTTTGTGACAGACGCAGCGTAGTTCGCCATAGGGCGGGTATGCCGTATGTGTGTTTGCTGCTGCTGCGGCTGAGTACTTGCAGCAGCAAACGCTGCAGAGATTACCTTCGCTTTATTTGTACAGACAGCGTGTTTACCCTCTTCTGTTTATTTAGATGCCTCCACAAGTATATCAACATGTATATGGATATATCCATATTTAGAGTGTAGATGTATATATATATATATATATATATATTCATGTGTTTGCATGCATTTGTGTGTAAGAATGCATTTGCATAAAAT